GCAAAACTGCCCATCTCTGCTGGGAGAAAGGAAATATTTGGTGTGAAAAATAGAGTGATATGTGGAGATGAGACTCAACGCTTGTCAAGAAATTTGATATCTACAAAGCTGGATATGTGTTGTGAGGCAAGAGAACTCTGTGTTTATATCCCCAGTCTCAGCAGAAGAGGAGAGAAAGGTGATTATTTCCTATGACTTCATGATTTTTGAACAATTAATTCCAAGAAAATTATAGAACACAGTTATTGGCTAGTTCACACCATCTGATAAATTGGAGTTGGGTAGTTGGTGATTCAATGTGTTCAATCATTGCCCAAATATGCTAAGACACAGTTTGAAGCCTCCGTATTATGTACTTGTTATAACATACCCTGTTATGTGAACATTATAATCACGTCCTGTTAAACCAAGATTGAAGCTTCTACATTGTGTGAACTAGTACTGAGTTATTACAAGGAAAGAAAAGTATATTATTTTTGTGTTAAGGCCTCATACAGGTGTAACTCAGTTGTAGAGGTTAGAACAGTCAGTATAAAGAGCTGTAATTGCTTTCTGTTTTAGAAAAGTTAAAAATAATCGCAAATAAACTTTCCACATATTTCTCCACTGTTTGGGAGTGAAAAACAGGCAGTATTTTTTTTTTTGCATTTAAAATACAACAGAGCTTGCCTTGGTTAAAAATATTTTTGAAAACACTTCCACATAAATTATGAAAGTGAGAAGTACATTTATAAAAGAGGGCTGAAAAATCTGTCTGCATAAATATTGGATTGGATAGCAAGGCGGAATTTGTGCACTGCAGTTTGTTTGATTTTGGCTTAGTATGTGTAACTCACCCAGGTTGGTTGGGAAGCCAAAGTTAGTTTAATACAACATGTGAACCCACCTCTTATGGACTGTTCTACAGATAATGCTTAAAACCATGGACCAGTGCAGAGATGGTTAACCAGAGGCTCCAACACCAAATAATGAAAATATAGGGAGATACTATTTTGAAGATGAGGTAGAATTTCCGTTCAACTAAGCTCAACTTCTGATGACTGGATTGATATATTGAGATGTTCTTTTGGCAACAGTACAGAAATAATTTGCATTTATCTTCCTCCAGGATATTATTTTGACTTCCCAGTTTGCTCTATAGCATGGGATTTTTTTAAAAATAGCCTCCTATCCAACTACTAACCAGTCTTGACTCTGCTTAACTTTTGAAGATCAACCCAAAGGAGGGTAGATATTGCCACCTTAATCTAACTATAATTAAGATAACTCAAAATTTACTTTTTTTTCCCTTGCCTGTCCTGTGCCTCTTTTAAAAGCCATATGTGACCTTCAGGTCCCTTCCAGACAGTGCAATGAATCATGAATCGTTAAGGGAACTAGATATGTCTAGCCTAACAAAGAGGAGGATTAGGGGTGAAGTGATAGCAGTCTTCCTGTCAAGTGCCAGGAAAATCAGGAGATCCAGACATGCTTCAAATGGGTATAAAGATTTATTGTAAGCTTAAGCTAGCTGCAAGAATCTGAACTACTAACCGTCAAGGAAAATTTGTGGGAGTTAAGGATAGGAAGTAATTCAAGGTGGGTTGGACTTAGATGGCACACAGGGACTCGTGACTGATGACACATTTGACCCCTCCCTCGGGCTCAGCCTGATTATCTCCTACATCTCCAGTACTTGAGGGCTCTCACAGAGAAGAGAAAGTTGGCTTGTTCTCCAAGGACAGGACAAGAAGCAGTGGGTGGAAGCTCATTAAGGAGACGTTCAACCTGGAGCAAAGGAGACATTTCCTGACAGTGATAGTGAAACAGCTTAGGTCCCAGAGTTGTGGGTACTCCATCATTAGAGGTTTGGACAATTGGACAACCGTTTCTCCGGGATGGTATAAGGCAGTGGTGGCAAACCTATGGCACGGGTGCCAGAGGCGGCACTCAGAGCCCTCTCTGTGGGCACCCGCACTGTTGCCCCAGTCCTAGGCCTTCAGCTGGGTTTTAGAAAACCTTTTCGCTTTAGGCCTCCGCCGCCGTGTACAAAAAAAAAAGTTCAATCAATCAGTCAATTTCAACTTCTTGTGGGAAAAAAAAAGATCTTGCAAAGTTGGAATTGATTGATTGAACTTTTTAGTCCCACACAGTCTGCTGTTACCACCGCAGCCATGCCCACCCAATGGGCCACACCCACCCAGCACCCAACGATGCATAAGTGGGTTTTGGGTTGCAATTTGGGCACTCGGTCTCTAAAAGGTTTGCCATCACTGGTATAAGGTCTCCTGCCTTGGGTAGGGGATTGGACTAGAAAATCTCCAAGGTCCATCCAACCCTATAATTTAGTGCAATTTATATGATGTCTAAGACCCGTCTGTGGATTCTTTATGACTATGCTAATATGCTGGAGCCTCCAGGGAGAAAGTCAAGAAGTCTTTTGCCTTTCGTCTCCTCAATTCGTTGCTGACACTGAGCTGTTCATAACTACATTGAGATAGTGTAAGACAATCAAGGCTTTTAATGCTGAAGGTTGGAAAGGTTTTGCTTTTAATCAAATGTCAGAAGTTTCACTAACTTAGGTTACTCCCTGCAGTTTTATTTAGCTATAAATAGCTGTGTGGGCTTCTGTAGTTAGAGAGGGAGATCAAAAAACTATTTCTAGCTAGAACATTTATGTGCCAAAGAACTTCTTCATTTATTTCATGCCCAGGACCCCCTAGGGTATTTTGAGTATTCATGCACATTTATCTATATGGGAGAAGATCTGGCGTCTTTAATCAAACAATAAGATCAGCAAAATGTCTTGCGCTGAGTTTGCACCATGTGCTAAACCAGGGAGCTCCCAATTTGGCAACTTTAAGCCTTGTGGATTTCAACTCAACTTTATGGCTGGCTGGGAAATTCTGGGAGTTGAAGTCCACAAGTCTTAAAGTCACCAAGTTTGGAGACCCCTGTGCCAAACTGTAGTTCCTTTAACCAAGGTGTATTGAATCAACCATAACTGGTAGGGTTAATCTGACAGAAGGGGCAGCACGCTGGCTCAGTGGTTAAGACACTGGGTTTGTTGGCTGGAAAACTGGTTTGAGACCTGAGCGCCATGCAATGGGGTGAGCTCCCGTTACTTGCTCCAACTCCTGCTAAGCTAGCAGTTTGAAAGCATGCAAATGTAAGTAGATAAATAGGCACCAGTTTAGTGGAAGGTAAAACAGTGGAAATGTCTTCAAACCATCCTGGCTCAATAGCCTTGAAATGGTGAGGAGCATTGCCCCCTACAGTTGGCAAACAACTAGTGGAGTAAAATCCGCAGGGATTCCTTTATCCAACAGAAGCTCAAAGAAGCAACCTTATGACTTCAGTGAGGCTCCTTATGCATCATGGAAATTTGACATCCAAAAGCAATTTATTGTACAAGAGTTACAAATTTTGTTTAGCATTTCCTCAAATCTTGTTGGATGCAAAATAGATTTCTGGATCTTTGCAGACCTTTGCATTACTGGTTTAATTTTAAACCTTAAATATTCAGGGTCCGCCTTGAGTAGTAATGGGGTTGATTATAGTTTAAGTAACTGTTCAACTAATGGCTTTGCTTGTCAATTGTTCTGATGGTGCTCTGCTTTCACTGAGATTTGAGTTTAAGAGATTTCAGGGGATAGATACTTACTCCGAGCGCTCAGATGTTGCCTTCAACCAACTCATGGTTTAGTCACTTTTTCGCATGCTTCATTGATTTCTATTAAAAAAACCTCTCCTGCCAACGTATGGGATATATTTATCACTTCTGTGAATTGGTTGTAACTAAAATGAAGTAACTCATTCCTATTCAGGTAATCCTCAATTTACAACCATTCCTTTAGCAGCTGTTCAAAGTTATAAAAGTACTGAAAAAAGTGAGTTACAGCCAATCCTTGGACTCACAACAGTTCCGGCATCCCCATGGTCACATGATCAGAATTCAAGCGCTTGGCAACTGGCATGTATTTATGACTGTTGCAATGTCCAGATGGTCATGTAATTGTCATATATAACCTTCCCAGCCAGCTTGTGACAAGCAAAGTCAATTGGAAAAGTATTCATTGTGGGTTGATAAATGCAAGGTTATTATAAGATTTTTACAGTCCTTTGAAGTACTGAATGGCAATTGTAGGATGTGTGTGTGTGTGTGTGTGTTTGTTTTTTAAAAAGTCTCTTCATGTGGAAGGAATAGATAGAGTTCACAGTATGTGAGGTCTGCCTGCAAAACATACTCTAGAGTGAAATGCAGAACAGACTGATTTATATATGGTAGACCGGGTTCGTCACCCAACAGATAAGATATAGATATAGATATAGATATATAGATAGACATAGATATAGATATAGAAATATATAGATATAGATAGATAAATAGATAGATAGATAGATAGATAGATATAGAGAGACAGATAGATAGACAGACAGATAGATAGATAGATAGATAGATAGATAGATAGATAGATAGACAGAAAGACAGACAGATAGATATATTATAAGAGTAAACAAACACGAACACTAGGAAAAATATAAAACTAGAAATATTTATTCTAATGCCAAGCTTTCGTCGGCTAACTTTCCTGGTGTTCGTGTTTGTTTACTCTTATGACTATACCCAGGATTCATATTTTTAACTAAATTAGTAATAGATATAGATATATAGATAAATATATAGATATTTAGATAGACATAGATATAGATATAAGATAGATAGATGATATAGATAGATATAGATATAGATATATAGATAGATATAGATATAGATAGATAGATAGATAGATAGATATAGATATATAGATATAGATATTTAGATACATAGATATAGATAGATAGATAGATAGATGATATACCGTAGATATATAAATAGATATAGATAGATATAGATATAGATTTAGATAGATAGATATAAATATAGATATATAGATAGATAGATAGATAGATAGATAGATAGATAGATAGATAGATAGATAGAGATAAAGCTCTCTCTGTCTCTTTTTTTTTCCTTGCAGCTCGCAATCCAGACTCATCCCAGACTCAAATTGCCGACCGCTTGTGAATAGAGGCTTAAATGAACATGGCAACATCGCCAGAGCCTGCTTTTCACTGGCACAAATGAGAGCCGTGTCTAAAAAAAAGCCATGCAGAGACTTCTCGGTGGGCAGCACATGGCTGTGGAGCGAGCGGCGAAGGAGGAGGAGGGACCCTCTTTTCCGACTGATGCTGCGCTTTGAAAGGCTTCCTCCTTATAAGAAGAGTTGCTAATTCAGAACTCGGTTCTCCCCTCCCCAATGTGGCGAATTCAGGGTGATCTGACCACGGCTTGAAGGTGAGAAGTCCCAGCCTTTGCTCTTTGGAAAAACACCGATCGAGTCTTTTGCTTTTCGTGCGAAGGGAGAGACGTTCAGACTGCCTGGAATTAAAATGCCAGCGAAAGGCAAATACTTTTTAAACGAAAGCGAAGGTTGCAAGTTGACAGACCCCTTGTACGAGAAGTATCTCTACGCAAGTCAACAACACCCACTGCTCTTCTTCCTGCTCTTCATTGTGGTTGCCTATTGCTCGACACTTATCGTAGTGCTCCTCTCTTACGACGTGAGTATGTGCTGCTCTTCGTAGTTTTTCGATTCTGACTAAGACCCGGACGCTCTAATTTTAGATGTATGAACCCACGTATATTAATGCAACCTTGGCCATCATTTTTAAATGCATTAGTGCCTTGCAGTTCTCCAAACAGGTCATCCCCAGCAAGTTATGGAAAAGTTGATTTAAAAAAGATACCAAAGCGGGTGCAGCTAGTTTGAAGAAATGCATAATAGTATGGGGAACTTTAGGCAAAACTGCAAATAAGAATCTTATGTTTAGAGAAATGCAAGGACATTTTAGCATGAACTTCAAAGAGCCCCTCTTAAGCTCAAATAAACTTTTGCAAGTGTTCTCCTGCCATTCCTACCTGTACCTATTCACAGCAGCTTATATTTCTTGAGAAATTGAACTGAATCTGGAATCTGTTAAATGCTTGTCCGGGCGCTCTGTAATTTAGAGGAATCCTAGAACTTAAATCCTAAATGTAACAGGAATCTCTGATTATGACTGCTTGCAGCGAGACTGTAGCTCTAACGTGATCATTTCTGAAATGCCACTGTTACGTTGACATTGTTATTGAGGTTGAATGCAGGTTTTTTTTAATGCATAAAGATCTAGACTTGTAAGAACAAACTCCTAAAAGTTTCTAGCCCAGCCAGATATCAGAAGGAGGAACTAAATGTGATAATACTTTCTGGTTAACTCTTTCTGTGATAACAACTATTTGTCTGAAATGGTACAGGGTTCCCTGCTTGAGGTAAATCGATCAGAAGACCTTCAAAATTCCTTCCAACTCAGTTATTCTGGTTACTTGTATTTCACTACTCTGTCTCTAATTTTGAGGATCATAGATAAGGAATGTACCAGATTTACAATTCTGGAGATGAGAGACCAAAAACCATTTCCTTTTCCAGAATATTTTTTCTAGACATTCACCAGATCCCCCGGAGCATTGCTATTCCCAGAAGAAAAACAAAAATTTTCTGATCTTTTCTGTATCTCCACTTGAAAGGATCTAATAGCAGGTGATGGGAAAGACCTTCCTAAGAGATTTAGAGAACAGTTGATTGTCTGAATAGTCCTATAGATCTGATTGGACTAAGCTAAGTTTCTTATCTGCCATTAAGATGTAGCTTCTGAACTGGTGATTATTGAAATTATTGAAACGTACAGACTGCAGCAAAATCATATCATGAAATTAAAATCGTAACGTGAGGAATACACCGCCAACTTAACACAGAACCTAACTTAAATCAAAATTAACTTTGTTTTTACTTTCAGGAACATGCCGGTCAACATCTGGCCTTTGTTATCACAGTGAGCATTGCTCTCATTATCTTCATCATCATGTATGTTTTAGTTTACGTCGAATATTACTTTTGGTGCCAGCTGAAGCTCTTTGCGGTCGTGATCTGGATCAGCTTGCTGGCCATCGGATACGTGTCCATTTTCGACAAGGAAAACCCTAAACCAGCTGCCTGGGAACAGGTATTTCTGTCACCTAATTATGATGTCATCCTTGCGCCAGAAAGAGACTACTTGCACACACACACAGCCTCCCCAAACATTCCTGACCCTCATTCAGTCCATCCAGATAGCATTGCCAAAATAGGGCAGGAAAAAGACCCAGTTTTTTTGGAAACCACTTTTTATTTTGTTCAGAAAAAAAATTAAAAGACAAAACACCAAAATACTTTTTTTAAAAAAACACACAACATAAAAAAGAACAAACAAGACATTAAAAAGAAAAAGGTGCATTAAAAAAAGGACTAACACATATATACATGTTACCCTCCTTAGCTGAATGCTGATTAATATAATAACAAAATAGAGAAGGAGAAAGAGGAGGAGGAGGAGGAGAAGGACAGGGGAGAAGGAGAAGAAGAAGGAGAAGGAGGAGAAGGAGAAGGACGGGGGAGAAGGAGGAGAAGGAGAAGGAGAAGAAGAAGAAGAAGAAGAAGAAGAAGAAGAAGAAGAAGAAGAAGAAGAAGAAGAAGAAGAAGAAGAAGAAGAAGAAGAAGAAGAAGAAGAGATTTATTGTAATCAACTCATAGAAAATTTACCATGGCTTCTTAAAAAAATGCCCATTTTTGATGATGTCATTTTTCCTCCTCCTCCTCCTCTTCCTCCTCCTCCTCCTCCTCTACCATGTAAAATGGTAGAATTTTAAAATTGGAGGGTAATGAGGCATTGTGCCTCTTAATTCTCTTGCCCAAAACCTTTTGCTCTGCTGATCCTAGTTGTATTGACTTAACTTAGTTGTTATCCTCTCTGAATGTCCTCAAATACTATTTCTTGAAGGAAAAGAAAGAGATTCCAGGATCCAAACTGGATCGGTCACCAGGACCAGAGGTTTAGTCTTACGAGCTTTCGGATTTGTGCTGGACCCCATCCTCGGGGAACTTCTCTCTCACCAGAATGTGTGCTTTGGACTGTTCTATGTATAGTACTTATGTAGTGCCTGATTGTGTGTGGCTTTTTAGTTGTTGATTGGGGTGTTGATGGCCAGTTATAAAGTCGTTGGATGTTGTGCGTCCAAGTCTTCGGTTCCTAAGTACCTGATAAGCTGGTGATAAATCAGCATTCCTGTTGACTGACAAGGAGCCCATTTCCCAGATTTCAATCATTTCCCTGGCTATTTTTGTACCTGCTCGGCCAACAATTTTAGTAGCCGAGAAATTGAATTTACATCCTTGTTCATTGCAATGTGAAGCTACCAATGAGTTCAGGTCTCCCCGTCTGACCGCTTGCTTGTGTTCTTGCAGTCTGGCGGTTAGCTTCCTCCCCATCTGTCCTACACAAGGGCAACCGATATAGGAGATCCAGTAAATTACATTAGAAATATCTTCCCCCTCCAAGCAATCTTTCCGTTCGTGAAAGAGATTGCATTACTCAAGAGTGTGTGTGTGGGGGGGGAATAAATTGTTGCAGGCAATACACTGATCAATTTCTCCTAATTCCTGCCAGTGAAGACTCTTCTCTCTTAACCTTCTCCTTGTTTTTCTTCCAGGTACCATTTTTTCTGTTCATCATCTTCACGACATACACCATGTTGCCCTTGGCTATGAGAGATGCTGTCATAGTCAGCTCCCTTTCTGCCCTCTCCCATATTATCGTCCTCAGCGTTGCAGCAGCCAAACACCCACAGAATCAGCACACCTTGCTCCTTCAGGTAAGGCACCTTGGGGAAACTGAGGCTCAAGACCACCAGTGTCTCCTGGAACATTTGTGGGAGGATCCTCTGATCACAATCACCCAAAACTAGGCATGATTTCCTGCCTGTTGGAGGCCACAAAGAAAGCAAACATGTAAATCTTCAAGAGGTTTCAGAAAGATTTAAAAGCAAATTTAGAAAGAATTGATCTCCTCAACGTGTGTTACGGTTGATGCTCCCCCCACCCCTGGTAAGCATCATTTTTCGAGTAATGTTCCTTCTGGGGGGGGGGGAGGAAAGGAAATGGAACAATTCTCCTATTAAAAAAGTATTATGAATTGGATAAGTGTTGATATTAGAAATGCTTTCCTCTTTAAAATTAGCTAGCTTGTGCATTCTAATGACTGCTCGTTCAAATTTCAGACAATCCTTTACATAAAGTTTTAACTTTGGGCATGCATAATATCAATCTATATATGCGTGTAAATACAATATACATTTTATGTTCTTGTTGTGTTCCAAATTGGGCATTGGATGTTCACCTGGTGGTGTTTCTTTCTTCCTTTTTTTCCACAAGCATCTTAGAAGAGGTTCTGAAGTAACAAAACCACCGCGGCCCAAGTTAGGCCACAAATAGTTAGTTCCCATTGGATTGGAGGCATAGTTTTAGCGTTTCAGCACAGCCTGTAGAAAGTTTGAGCATTTGCTTGTTGAGTTGGAATGACTATTTAATTTAGAACAAGGTTGGAAGGGACCTTAGAGGTCTTCTAATCCAACCCCCTGCTCTAGCAGGAGACACTATATCATCTCAGACAAGTGACTGTCTAGTCTCTTCTTAAAAACCTCCAGTGATGGAGCACCCACAACTTCTGGGGGCAGGTTGTTCCACTGGATAATTTTCCTCACTGTTTGGAAGTTTCTCCTTAATTCCAGGTTGCTTCTCTCCTTGATTAGTTTCCAACTATTGTTTCTTGTTTTACCTTCGGGTGCTTGGCAAGTAAGTCCAATCAATCAGAATAGAGCTGGAAGGGACCCTGGAGGTCTTCTAGTCCAACCCCCTGCTCAAGCAGGAGAACCTATACCATTTCAGACAAGTGACTGTCTGGTATCTTCTTAAAAACCTCCAATGATGAAGCACCCACAACTTCTGGAGGCAAGACGATCCACTGGTGAATTGTTCCCCTATCAGGAAATTTCTCCTTAGTTTTAAGTTAGATTTCTCTTTAATTATCTTCCACATGTCACTTCTTGTCCTGCCGTCAAATGCTTTGGGGAATAGGCTGGCCCCTTCCTCTCTATGATAGCCCTCATCTTAAAATTTAAGAGAAAAGATCCTTAGATGACAAGGATCTTAAATTCAGCTGGAGCTTTGATTCACATCAAAACGGTATACCAGTTGTTCCCAGATGTTTTTCACAAGGCAGTGCTAAATTTCAGAAGAAATATTTTGATTATTTTTTTTTATTCCAGGAGTGAGTAATTGAAGACAAATAAAGGGAAATATTCTAGTTTTGTAAATGTGGAAACTATGACCCACCGAAGTATTTCCGTAGTTGTTTGGCAATCCCTGCTTGTCTAGACAATCCGTTTTTAAGAATCTGATAAACGTCAGCAAAACCATTTAAGATCCACACCACTGAGCTGTGTGTCATGTTTTGGAAGGTGAGGTAATGCAATTCCTACCCCCAGATAAATGCTTTGGACATGATTGAAGCAACTCTTTTGTTAATCTGTTGCTTCTTTCTTGGCAAATCTGCTGAATTTTGAGGAGGGATGAATTTTCATGCCATCGTCTCATTTCTGAAGGACTCACTTACTTTTGGTCAAAAAATGGGCTTGGTTTAATTCCTAGCCAGAAAGCAAAGCAAAACAAAACCTCAGCCCGATTTCCTTTCCTGTATCAATCAAACAATAATTTCAGTACGAATGAAGATATTTAGAGAGCAGGCAGTGTGGAATTCCAGCATGGTAAAAGTCATAAAATGAAATGAAGAGAATATTTGGTCTGCTGAAAAGCAGATCTAACAGGCGACGTTAGATTGTCTCTCCTGAAACTTTTTTTTAAATTAAATGTGGTAACTAGGTATGTTTGCTATGGTTCCTCAATCAAACTGAGCAGGTAGATAAAATGAGAGTTTAAGATCATGGCTTATTCTGAATGCGATAACTATGGTTTCCTTGTTTGGGAAAAGAAGGAGATACAATGGCCTAGTGACATATATATATGCTAGAAGCAAAAAGTAGAGAAATTTAGACTAGACTAAACTAGACTATAGACTAGACTAGACTAGACTAGACTAGACTAGACTAGACTAGACTAGACTAAACTAGACTAGACTAGAATAGGATAGGATAGAATAGAATTAATGGAATGAGAATAGACTAGACTAGACTAGACTAGACTAGACTAGACTAGACTAGACTAGACTAGACTAGACTAGAATAGAATAGAATAGAATAGAATAGAATAGAATAGAATAGAATAACAGAGTTGGAAGGGACTTTGGAGATCTTCTAGTCCAACCCCCTGCTCAGGCAGGAAACCTAGAGTCTAGACCATTTCAGACAAATGGTTGTCCAATCTCGTCTTAAAACTTCCAGTGTTGGAGCATTCACCACTTCTGGAGGCAAGTTGTTCCACTGGTTAATTGTTCTCACTGTCAGGAAGTTTCTCCTTGGTTCTAGGTTGCTTCTCTCTTTGATTAGTTTCCATCCGTTGCTTCTTGTCCTGCCTTCAGGCGCTTTGGAGAATAGCTTGACTCCCTCTTCTTTGTGGCAGCCCCTGAGATATTGAAACACTGCTATCATGTCACCCCTGGTCCTTCTTTTTGTTTTTTTTAAAGACTAGCCTTATTAGCTTGTATGCAAGGGTGAAAAGGCTAATTCTTATATCAGTGGGTTAAGCTGAGGTATGACTTTGAAATCTGCTATATTTTTTCACCTCTAAAGCCTTTTTTAGAAGTGGCAGGAAGGATATATGTTTAATTTGTACCGTATATATTCCATTGCACGGAAAATTATGTGTAGGAAACCAACCCAAAATTTAATTGCCTTAGACTGAGAAGTTTGTTGACTATGATTTATGATGTAGCCTGTTAGAAACCAACAATTTCTGACTTACTAAAATCATAGTAGTTGTAGCACAACATGTGAACTTAATCACTGTGTGAAATCACCTGGATTAACAAACATGAGCCAATGTATCAGTCATGGCTTTGGCAATAAACACCCCCTTGAAGTTAATCTTCTAGTTTGGACAGGTTTCAGAGTTTGGAAAATGTGCTTCTTTTTTCTCCTAAAACAAAATACAGTTTCACGCAAGTATTTGTAAAAAATTGTACTTCCCCCCCTCCTCCAGTTCTATTGTACAGTCAATCAGGGATTTAGGAAAAAAGTTGAGATCAAATGAAATGAAAGCAGGGGATTTAATTTAGTGCTTCTTCCAATCTTCCTATAAAATCTAGATCATCTGGCAGGGCAGGTTCAAAGCAGAGAGCTTCCAATTTTTGAAGGTGATTTCAAGATGAATCAACCCACAGGTCAAAGACAAAGGGCACAAAACCTGGAATTGCAAGAGAATCTGGGGAAAAATGAATTCCCAGACTTATAATAGGTTAGTTAAGTGCTGGCAAAATTAAATTGGAAGGGTTTTTGTCAACTCCATTGGCTGGTAGGGTCTTCCAAATCTGAACATGGTCAGTCTACTCAAGTATGGCCAACTCTGACAGGCAGTGAAACAGCCTGAACTGCGCCCTGGTTAGAATCCAGTATTGTAGACAAACTCTGCCCACTGCCAGGAGTTCGATCCTGACCGACTCAAGGTTGATTCAGCCTTCCATTCTTCTGAGGTCGGTAACATGAGGACCCAGATTGTTGGGGGCAACAGGCTGACTCTGTAAAACGCTTAGAGAGCGCTGTAAAAGTACTATGAAGTGGTATATAAGCCTTCCTATTGCTACTGCTATTGAAATTTGGACCATTTGTCTGCAAAGTAGATCCTCTGCAACTGAGCTGTGGTCCTTTCCCATGCTCTCCTAAGATTATTTTGAGGTCATTTCATTCAAAACAAGGAGTGTCCTTCTTAACATGAGCTAACTGCTAATCCTTGTGTAACTATTATTCCTCTGCGTAGTTGCTTTCCTGTGGATGTTGGCTGTATTTATTTTATTTCATCAATGATAGTGAAACAACCCAAGTCTTCACATGGTTGTGTTGAAGGGTCTACACCAGGGGTAGGCAACCTTGGCTCTTTTATGACTCGTGGACTTCAACTCCCAGAATTCTGGGAGTTGAAGTCCACGAGTCAGAAAAGAGCCAAGGTTGCCTATCCCTGGTCTACTCCCTCTCCCTCTCCCTCCCTCCCCCCCTCTCTCTCTCTTGGCTTTTCCAAGGATTTGACCACCCTCTTTTAAAATGAGCTTTTATTTATTGATCTTAGTTACCGTATCTATAGTATTTCAAGGCATCATTTTCATTTGATTTTTTTTTTTTTTTTTTACTGTAGAGTACTGACAGTTGGGTGGGATGAGTTGAATAAATGAATGAAGCATTTCTGGAAAATTGGTTTTAAAAAGCCATTGAACAAGAGTTGGTAGGAAGCTTTCTCTGGAAAAAGCCTTGGGGAATTGATGGGGAAGGACAGATAAGACAAAGCTTTCCTGTTGCAAAATTGGAACAAGACAGGATTCTTTCTTTTGCTGTGCTCAATTATTATTTACGGTGAAGTTTGCTTTTAGCCTAGCCTTCTGTGCAGATTGGGCTATTACGGCTTGTTCAGTCAGATGTGGTTAGGAAGAATCTTGTGAGCGTCACCGGCTGCAAAAAAAATGGAAGATGGTAACTGCATGGTTTTCTTTCATTTCTTCAGCTTGTTGCAAATGCTTTCATTTTCCTTTGTGGCAATTTGCTGGGGGCCTATCACAAGCATCAGATGCAAGACGCCTCGTGGGACCTGTATCGCTATACCTTAAAATGCATCCAAGTCCAAATGAAATTAAAAATCGAAAAAAGGCAGCAGGTAAGGGGAATATCCAACTGTAAAAGAAAGCATGCTTTCCTACACGGCTAATTATTAAGAATGCAATTATCAACCTGCAGATAATTATTTAGTGCAGTACATAACTCATTCCAGTTTCTCTTGGTGCCCTCTGAGTTTGGTTTTTTTCTTGCAGGCGTTTCATTACCCAAACTCGGTAACATCATCAGGAGCCAATGCCACTCCCCTCTAGCACTGATGATGTTACCTAGTTGGGTAATAGAATGTCTGCAAGAAAACAACAAAGCTCAGAGAACCCCAAAGTCATTCTCCTCCTCCTCCTCCTCCTCCTCCTCCCAAACCCCAAATTCCCTTTTAGCACTGATTATACTACCTAGTTGGGTAATAAAATGTCTGCAAGAAAACAACAAAGCTCAGAGAGCCCCAAAGTCATTCTCCTCCTCCTCCATCACCTCCTCCTCCTCCTCCTCTCCACGTACCCCAATTCCCTTCTAATACTGATTATGCTACCTAGTTGAGTAAGGAAACATCCATAAGAAAATAAACAAGCTCAGAGAGCACCAAGGACCCCACAATTCAACCCTGAGCTTCCAATATTCTCCTTTGTTCCAGGTTTGGTAAGCCATATCGCTGCCTGCTTGGTAGCCATTAAAGTGAAAACTCAGAAATATTCGTGAATGTTTTTCTAGAATAATTCCTGAATAGTCCAGGAACTTCTCTGGACAACATGAATATAAGCAGAGCGTTTTTGCGCAGATGTACAAGCATTGGAGTTGGGATGGAAGCCCTAAAGGAATGAATGAACATTGCATGGCCTAATGAGCTTAATGAGGGAGGGGGCTATGCTCTTATTAGTTAGGTTAGGTTATTGGTCTTAATTAGGTTGCTCCTTCTTCCTCCTTTGAAATCTTACTCTTGCTTTCAGCAATTCAAATCTTCTTCTTTTCTCCCAGGAAAGCTTGCTCCTGTCTATCTTGCCAGCTCATATATCCATGGAAATGAAACTAGCCATCATTGAGCGCCTGAAAGAAACCAGCGACATGAAAAAGCATGACAATAATTTCCACAGCCTCTATGTGAAACGGCACCAGAACGTCAGGTAAATCTTTGAGCTTCCGAGACCCGCTTTCTCTAGGGCGGTGGTTCTCACCCTGTGGGTCGGGACCCCATTTGGGGTCGAACGACCATTTCACGGGGGTCGCCAAACGCAGTCCGCCATTTTCCCCCCCTTTTCCTTAGCTGTGCTACTCCCTTTTATTCTATTGGCTTTTGAAAGCCAATAGAATAGACTCTCTTGAATAGAGTCTAATTCTATTGGCTTTCAAAAGCCAATAGGAATTGTCCAGGCTGTCTCTGCCCTGCTGAGCCCGCCAAAAGCCCCATTCTGCAAACGGTGCTGCACCAGTTGAGTAGTCCTCGACTTACAACCGGTTGAGTAGTCCTTGACTTACGACCGGTTGGGGGTTGCGGCATTAAAAAGGTTGAGAACCACTGACTTACAGCAATCCCAGACACACACACACACACACATATATATATATATATACATATTTGTCCTTTCTCTAGCATCCTGTATGCAGACATTGTAGGGTTCACTCGCCTGGCAAGTGATTGTTCTCCGAAGGAGCTGGTGGTGATGCTGAATGAACTGTTTGGAAAATTTGACCAAATTGCAAAGGTCAGTAAATTCTGGGAACTGAAATCCCCATATCTTCAAGTTGTCGAGAAAAACAACTGGCCTATTGTGTGAATGTAGCCATTCTGGTTGGTAAACTAGGAACTGCCCATATTATTTTTTTTAATTGTGCAGTCTCACAACGAGATTGTGTATTGTGCAGTAATAAACTAGCCGTATAAAAATCATGGTGTTGCATAGTTTGGCCATACAGGCAGTCCTCACTTACGACCAGAATGGAGCTCAATATTTATGTTCCTAAGTGAGACATGCTAAACGAGACATGGTGGCACAGTGTTTAGAATGCAGGAATGCAGGCTAATTCTGCTGACTGCCCGCTGCCAGCAGTTCGATCCTGACCGGCTCAAGGTTGACTCAGCCCTCCATCCTTCCGAGATTGGTAAAATGAGGACCCAGATGGTTGGGGCAATAGGCTGAGCAACCTTAGAGAGAGAGCTGTAAAGCACTATAAAGCGGTATATAAGACTAAGTGCTATTGCCCTTCCTTCCTTCCTTCCTTCCTTCCTTCCTTCCTTCCTTCCTTCCTTCCTTCCTTCCTTCCTTCCTTCCTTCCTTCCTTCCTTCTTTCCTTCCCCTTCCTTCATTCTTTCCTTCTTCCCTTCCTTCCTTCCTTCCTTCCTTCCTTCCTTCCTTCCTTCCTTCTTTCCTTCCTTCCGTCCTCCCCCACCCTTCCTTCCTTCCCAGTGGTTAGAATGCAGTATTGCAAGCTAACTCTGCCCACTGCCAGGAGTTTAATCCTGACCGGCTTAAGGTTGCTCAGCCTTCCATCCTTCCGAGGTCGGTAAAATGAGGACCCAGAAGGTTGGGGTCCTCAATATTCTGTAAACCGCTTAGAGAGGGGTTGTAAAGCACTATATGAAGCGGTGTATAAGTCTTAAGGGCTATTTGTTAAATGAATTTTGCTCCATTTTATAGCCTTTCTTGCCCCATTTGTTAAGCGAATCGCTGTGATTGTTAAATTAGCAAAACGGTTGTGAAGTGAATCCGGCTTCCTCATTGACTTTGCTTGTCAGAAGTTCACAAAAGGGGATCGTGTGACCCCAGGACATGGCGACCGTCGTAAATATGAACCAGTTGCCAAGTGTCCAAATTTTGATCGCGTGACCACGGCGATGCTCTGACGGTCGTAAATGTGAAAAACGGTCATCGGTGACTTTTTTTCAGTGCCGTGGTAACTTTGAACAGTCACGAAACGAACTGTTGTAAGTTGAGGACTCCCTATATAACAGTCATCGGCTGCACATGGGTAATTTCAAATTTGCACGAAGCAAGATTTTTCACTACTGCTGTAACTCCTAAACCAACAGGCTTAAATTGAGGACTGTCTTGTATATTCTCCATGCTTGAACCCCAGATAAATTGCAAATGAACTATCCTTCCCCCCCCCTCCATTTTTCTTTCTTTTCTTTTCTTTTTTTTTGAATAGAAAAAAGTGCAGCTTCCGATGAAGAGATGACAGCAGATCTGTTTTCTCCCTGCAGAAAAGCCTATAATTGCACTGCTTAAGACAAACGCCGGTTAATTCATATTTGCAATGCTTGATGATTCATGGGCTATTTTTTTTTTTTCTTTTGCAGGAAAATGAATGTATGAGGATAAAAATTTTGGGAGACTGTTATTACTGTGTCTCGGGCTTACCTGTGTCCTTGCCGGTACATGCCAAAAATTGTGTGAAAATGGGCCTTGACATGTGCGAAGCGATAAAGTATGTACTTTTAAAAAGCTAGTTAAAAGGTTAGGAGTGGTGATGCAGGACTAGATAAGGTAGCATTACGATAGATAATAATAGGCCCTCCTAATCTTCTGAAGCATTTCTTCCTCCTCTGATCGTACTAGTGTAGTTTTTTTTTTAAAATACTTTTTGCTCTGTTAAATAGTCACATAGAAAAAAACAAGGTGTCTGGGCAGTTAGTTTACGCTGATTTAAACTTCCATGGATTAGAGCAACTTTAAGACTTGAGCAATGAGAACATATTCCAAAAGCAGTGTGATTCTTAAGTCTAGAGACGGGAAAAATCAAATGGCTTTCCATCTTGTCTTCCACCCTGGAGTCCTTATCATTTTTATTTTTGCAGGCAAGTTAGGGAAGCCACAGGGGTGGACATCAACATGAGAGTCGGCATACATTCCGGAAATGTTCTTTGTGGGGTGATCGGACTTCGGAAATGGCAGTACGATGTTTGGTCCCACGACGTCTCCTTGGCCAACCGCATGGAATCGGCAGGCATCCCTGGGTAAGTAGGTGAAATCCTTAAAAGTGAGGGTCCTCGTGATGGCAGATAATTGAAATGTAGAGTAGTTTCCTAGCTGAGGTTTATTTAGTTGGGTTTAGTCCAAGGATGCAGAAATTTTAGGGGGACAATCTGATTTTTCTGCTGGCCGCAAGATTCTGCAATGGCATTCGAGCAACAATCAGGAGGAGATTTTATGGGTTCTTTGTCATGATTGGGAAGCAAAGCACCCTTAACTCTTTCCTCTAGTGTAGTGATGGCGAACCTTTTAGAGACCAAGTGCCCAAACTGCAACCCAAAACCCACTTGTTTATCGCTGGGTGCCAGGTGGGCATGGCCCATTGGGTGGGCGTGGCTGTGGTGGTCATGGCAGACTTGGTGGGTGTGGCCAAGGTGAGCATGGTCACCTCGATGTTGCTCATGGGGAGGGACGCCTATGGGGGCTGGGCAGAGTTGGGGGAGATCCAGGTGGGGCAATGGGCAGGAGGCTCATCCTGCGGGGTGAGGCGAGGCAGGGCGGGGGTGCCATTGTTGCAAGGCAAGGTGAGGCAGGAGCTGTGGTGGTGGCTGCCTGACACCATCGGCTCCCGCACACAGAGGCCAGCGAGCGCTTGGGGGCCAACGGTGTCCGTCAGCAGCCACAGCCTGATGGCTCCTTGACCGGTGCACTCTGGGGCTCCACAGCCCACCGCCAGCAGTTTAGAGAAGCCGCGTCTGAGCTGGACGGCCGGCCGACAGCTGAGGAGGCGATGCACTGGGTCGTGCCCTTGAAAAAGAGAGCATGCGAGGCCAGGAGGGAAGGGACGGGGGGAGGGAAACCAGCCATGCTGGGATGCATCCGGCCACATAGGACCTCGGCGAGTTAGCGGGCGGCTGGTTGAAGAAGGGCAGTTGCCATCTCCGGGGCATGGCGCACGTGCCCATAGAGAGGGCTCTGAGTGCCGCCTCTGGCACGTGTGCCATAGGTTCGCCATCACTGCTCTAGTGCAAACATAGCCCAACATTTGCCATCATTCTTCATTGCCAATTTTCAGAATGGGATGTCTGGCCACTTTTCCTGGTTTTTGGGTGTGAGAATGGAACCAGGGGGCTTTTAGGAAGTAAGCTGCTTTTATTCCAATTCTTACTTTTGCATGAAAACTACGCAGAGAGATACTTTCAATTTTGAGCAGTGCCGTTTTGACATGCTGGGGGCCCCTGGCAGGCTGTAGATTCTCTATCCTGCTGAGTCTGTTGGGTGAACCCCAATTGTTTGATGTGATTTCTAAACCAGGTTTTAATGTATGAGTGTATGTTGGGGGATGCACAACTTGGTAAGCAATTTATAAAGAGCTGAATTCAACTTCCTTCCTTCCTTCCTTCCTTCCTTCCTTCCTTCCTTCCTTCCTTCCTTCCTTCCTTCCTTCCTTCCTTCCTTCCTTCCTTCCGTCTTGTTTAGTGAATTCTCAGCTTTGGTTGCCATTCACCACCTGATAAAAATCACAATTGTCTCCCAAAAATATTCAGAGTTGCTAACCTGGATTCTAGTAAGATTCTAATAAGATGTGTGTCTTTACGATGGAGGGCATGGAAAGCTGCAAAAGAGACCTCAGGATATCTTGTAACTGATGGAATTGCTTTGTAAATATTTTCCTGGGTCTGCAGAATCATTTCCATCCTTGTTAACAGTATTTTAGCCTCCGAAAGAGGCAACAAGGGAGTTTATTTTTAGTCACTTTTATGGCACCAGATGGATTGATTATTGATTCTTTCTGGTACATGAGCTTACCTGTTTGCTGGATATTCCTGGAAGTGCAACATCACCTTCTTTGTGTACCTGGACACCTGCTTTATAGTTGCCATAGCTCAGTGTGTGGCTTTTCAGAAGGAAATACACTTTAGTTTCAGGACATAATCGCAGAATAAATTATTTCACTCTGAGTCTTTCCCTGGAGTTATGATTGCATATCTGCCAACGTTCAGGATGAAACCAGAGAACTGCAAAGCCAGAACGTGGCCATTTAATTGAACAAACTCTTATCTTTAAAAACACTTCCCTGCTTATGAGAGGCAGAGAATATTTTGAAAACACAAATGTTTGCCCACAAAAGAGAAAAAAGAACTAAATTCCACTGCTAAGATTTTATATACAGTATCCTAACCGGAGGGATAATTCAAAACTCTTTGTATCATCCTTCATCCATTTTAAGATCTGAGGGTTGGTCTTAGGAATGAAGGAGCCCTTAGTAGTTTTCCCTGCTGCTCTGTGTTTTATTCCCAGGAATGAATGAATGGGTAATCTTGGCTGAATAACAGAATAACAAAATCACAGAGTAGGAAAGGACCTTGGAGTCTTCTAGACTGAAGCTTTTGAAGACCAAAGGTCCAACTGATTCACCAGCTAGCTGATAAAATCTCAAATAAATGATAGCATGACACATTGTTGGGTGCTGGGGTAAAATCAAACAATATTGGCATTCTGCTTCCTCCATTATCTCAACTGAGGCTGAGATCTATTGTTAGTCTTCATTAGTTCCTCTCAGGTCAACAGTTTTTTGTTTTGTAGAAAAGTACAAATAATCCCACAATGGCATTTGCTATTTTCTTTCCGTAACATTGGAAAGTGCTTTGGGGTGTGTGCGTGTATTATTAAGTAAGTGGTACTGCTCAGTGCATGTTGTGAAGCTTCCTGAAAACCCTCAATGCAAGCCAGCTGAGTAAACTCTTGGAGAAGGGCGTAGAGTGTGAGGCACCCAGAAGTTATTTAAGCAAGGTAGGAGATGAAAGAAAAGTGCTTTCAATCTAAAACTGAATTAAAATTGAATGAAGTCTTCTTCCAGTTGAAAACACAATAGGCCATTTGCCACCCTGTCTTGAGAGTGTCTCTATGCTAAGCACATAGTAATCACTTTGATGGGCACTATGTTCATCTCCTTTGTTGAAAGGGATGGTACTCATCAGAGCAATATTGCCAAGTGCTTTGTAGACGAACATAGTGGGCGGAAAGCAAGAAGGGTGCTTTTAACAGGTCTGAAACCCCTACTGTATTGAGAAATTGAGGGAAGGAGGAAGAAAAGCAGAGAAAACTGAGAAAATAAACAAGGCTGACTGTAGAAGAGCAGGCAGAGTTAGAAGGCGGAGTTAAGCATGTCATTAGTTTGGAGTCATTGTGTTGCCACAAGAGACTCAAATCCAGCCCACCCATGAATTCTGTTGACTTTTATCTAGCACCAATTTAGTATCCACTGTTAGTTGACTAGATTCTTGGGTTTAGGTAAGCAACAATAAACTCTTCTCTACTTTGTCTCCAATGAATACACCTGACACTGATTCTACATAGAGACCATGTGAAACGGTTGCTTTTGGTCATAGATGCTGATCATGGCAAGAAACAATGGTGAGATGCTGGAGGATGTTGGATGTGTGGGTCCACCTGTAAGCCCTCTTAGCCCCAGATATTTAAGAAGACCTTATATCCATCAACCATGCATGGGGACTGATATTTTATTTAGTTTAATTGTTTGGTCACTGAACATGCTGAAGGACCTTCCCAGAAATGCCATCTTCTTCCAAACTGGCCTGGTGTATTCTTCAGATCAAAGACTTGTGTGACAAGGAAGTCTACTCTTTTCTAACTACTGTATTATATTTTATCCAATCTTTTGTGCTGGTAACTGTGGCTTCCTTTATGTGTATTCTCTTCTCCCTTGAAGGAACTCATGACATTTATGTAGTCTTTTCTTCCCTGTTTTTAATTGCACTTTCCCAAGAAGACTACACAAAGAAAGAGGGGCTGTCACGAGAGTGAGCTAGATTCCCCCCCCCCCCGCCTCTCCTCTCCTCTTGGGTTTGCATGAGATGCCGAAGTATAGCTTGTTAAATAAACCAGAATTATGCATGGATTAGAGAACAAAGGGGATCCAAATGAATAAAGCATACTGTGGTTTGTGATGTGTGAACCAAACACCCAATAAAGGAGAATATTTGCAGCTCGGGGTTGAAATAAGGTATTTAGAGGACTGATGATGTTACATAGTTTGGGTAATGAAATGTCTGCAAGAAAACAATCTCCCTCCCTCTCCCTCTCTCCCTCTATCTCTCCCTCTCTCCCTCTCCCTCTCCCTCTCTCCCTCCCTCCCTCCCTCCCTCCCTCACTTTCTCCCTTTTGCTCTCTCCCTCTCTCTTGTTCTCCTTCCCTCCCTCTCCCCCTCTCTCTCTAAAAACAGTAGCAAACACTGCACAAAGTTATGTGAATTGGCATGACTGGATGCTCTATCGTGCTATCCAGCTGAGCTGTTCAAGAACAATCCTGCCAGGAATCTTGATTTTGGCTGCCAAATGTGTGGCAGCAGAGAGTTATCGGCAGCAGCCATTGTAATGATAATCGATTCCTGGGAATGGCATTTCTGCAAACATTTCAGCCTTTTGTACACTTGTCTCTCTCCGTCCTCTTTGCAGCCGCGTGCACATCACGGAAGCAACCCTCAATCATCTCGGCAAAGCTTATGAGGTGGAAGAAGGAAATGGGCACCTCCGGGATCCGTATCTTGAAACCATGAACATCAAGAGTTATTTGGTGATTGACCCCAGGGTAAGCATTCTTGGATGTAAAAAAAAGAAAAAGAAAACCCACACACCCTATGAGTGGCTCCCTTGTTTCACATGTGTCATGCTGTGTCATGGTTTAACATGATGTATTGGGCCGCTCACAAATGGTTGAGTTTGCACTCGTGGAAAACTAAAAACATGCAAACCAGTACAATGGCATAGATCAGTGTTTCTTAGATGTTAGCAACTCTAAGATGTGTGGACTTCAGCTCCCAGCAAAGCTGGCTGGGGAATTCTGGGAGTTGAAGTTCACACATCTTAGAGTTGGCAAAGTTGAGAAACACTGAGGAAGAGTGGTGGTGTGTGAACTAATCCAGCTATGAATTGCTCAGGAAAAAAAGCTGCTAGCACAAATCGGGGAATCACTCAGAGGCAATTAAGCATTTCATACAGGAGCTGTGAAAGCAAGCTACGAAGTTGTTGGGCAGACAGTGAAGATAATGAATGGGACATAGAAAGGAAGGAACTGAAGCCTCACATCTGGAATAATTGAAAAAACGATTGTCATCTTGAGAAACCCACATAGAAAGCTGAGGGACAAAAGGATCTGGAGCTTTTAGAGAAGATAGGAGAAGACCATCTAAATGCCACGTTGGTCCGTGCCTATAATAAAGAAATGACCAGCGAGAATTATAGAATTACAGAATAACAGAGTTGGAAAAGTCCCTGGAGGTCTTCTAGTCCAACTCCCTGCTCAAGCAGGAGACCCTATACCAGTGGTTCTCAACCTTTTTAATACCGCGACCCCCAACCGGTCGTAAGTCGAGGACTACTCAACCGGTCGTAAGTTGAGGAATACTCAACTGGTGCAGCACCATTTGCAGAATGGGACTTTTGGGGGGCTCAGCAGGGCAGAGACAGCCTGGACAATTCCTATTGGCTTTTGAAAGCCAATAGAATTAGACTCTATTCAAGAGAGTCTATTCTATTGGCTTTCAAAAGCCAATAGAATAAAAGGGAGTAGCACAGCTAAGGAAAAGGGGGAAAAAATGGCGGACTGCGTTGTTTGGCGACCCCCGTGAAATGGTCATTAGATCCCAAATGGGGTCCCGACCCACAGGTTGGGAACCATTGCCCTATACCATTTTGAACAAATGACCATCCAATTTCTTCTTAAAAACCTCCAGTGATGGAGCACTCACTGCTTCTGGAGGCAAGCCAAAGTCGATGTTGCAAACCAGGAATATGAAAAAGTCAAGGCTGCATACTTCATTTTAGGCTATTCAGCCACATCTGAGCGTCTGTAGCATGTCCATGCAAAATAGAAAGCTGAAAAGAAACAGAAAAAAGAAACAGAAGTATGCAAAGAGGAGTTAAATAAGCCTAATCTAAAAATACTGTTGAGTGATGTTGTCTAAATATATATATTCTTCTGCTGACACCAAGCTTGCCTTTGATCAGGTGGCCTACGATTATATTTTGCAAACCCATGGCTCTCTGCTTGCTTTCTCCTTTTTTTTTTTTTTTTTTTTGGATCTTTATTATGTGTTGTGATTGTAACCAGGTCTGTTCTACAGAAAGTGGGAATAATGAGGGTCAGGTGAGGTATCCAAAGCTGAACTAAACTGAAGCCTGCAGCCCAGGAGGTTTTATTTTGGTTGCGTGCGCATGGAAAAGGAAAGGAGAATGTATTCAACATTCAGTTGCCATGAACCACGGATCCCCATGAAACAATGGCTTTTAAATTTTGATCTCCAAGGAGTCCTTCAGGAATCCAGAACAGCTGTTCTTTAAATGTGTGTAATTAAACAGAGTAGGCCCTCAAACTCCCACGCTTGCTTTAAGTGCAGTTCTACCAGCATTTTGAGAAGAACTGGTTTTGTTTTGTTTTTAAATAAAAGCCGTTGCACAATGAACACTCCTAGTTTGCTTTGCTTGGCTTACAAAAGAGGTTCGGGTTTTTTTTTCCCCCTCTGCTTTTCAGCAATTTCTACAGCTTTGACATAAGTCCAAGGCCAGTGGCAACCTGTTTGCCTTAGATATTTTCATTAATAAAGGCTATTAGTGCTACTTTACAGAACATAGTGCGGACAACAAGCAGTCACAGTTCCAAATTAATAACCCTGCACAGACTGCATTCTTCTAGAGAAGTGCTTCCCAAACCAGGTTAAATTACTCAAAATTGGATAAAAGTGGCTTTTCTTTGGGTAAAGACCTACAAACCCATTACCAGTCACAATTTGTGGAGGTTAATGCTTGCTATTAACTGGTTTCTGGGTTTTTTTAGTTCTTTTAATCCTGTTTACCCATAGTGGGACTATAAAATGCTCAAAGTCAGCCTTTGGAGCAGCAACTAAGCCTATAGAATGTAAGATCCAATAGAAGAGAATATAGCTCCAAAATTGAATTCTGCCTTCTGAGTTTGGTTGTTAGCTTGCAGACGTTTCATTATCCAAGTAGGTAACATCATCAGGGCTAGTGCTCAAACATAGCTTCAACTGGGAAACTGAGCATCCGAGACCAAGTGAAACCAAAAAATTGTAGGGGATTCCTGGGTGTTTGGCATTCAGACAAATCAGGCATCAACGAATACAGAGATAAACACCATTTACTCGCCATTCAAAAGACAATTTTGAAAAGCTAAGAAGAAAACCAAAAGACTAGAACATGTCTTCTCCAGCAACAAACACTTTTATAAGGAAGGATTAACCCCAGACAAACAATCTAGCAGAAAACAATTCCTAATCAAGGAACTACTGAGGAGAAAACCACATCCCCACCAACACCGGTGGGGCAGTCTATGGTATATAAATAGGGAGTAAACCTCACACTCACCAGCACTGATCATGTAACTGAGTTGGGTCATGAAATGTCTGCAAGCAAACAACCAAGTTCAGAGAGCACTAAGGATTCCAGAAGATAAAATAAATAATGTGCCCAATGTAATCATTTATTCTCTCTCTCTCTCTCTCTCTCTCTCTCTCTCTCTCTCTCTCATTAGTCAAAACAGCGTGCCACCAACAATCATTTTCCTCAATCCAGAGTGCAAGATGGCTTGAAGATGAGAGCCTCTGTCCGGATGTCACGATACTTGGAATCCTGGGGTGCAGCTCGTCCTTTTTCTCACCTCAACCACCGAGAGAGTGTGAGCAGTGAGACTTCTGCGCCCAACCGCAGACGCAGGAAGGTAAATCTTGGCTGTTATGTTCTTCAAAATTGTCTTCCCAAGTCCTTTGATGAGATATGGAAGCAAGCATGAGGTTTCTCATGAACAGGAAAACAAGGAATTGAAAAATGGCTATTCAGGAACACATTCCTTTTCATGCCTGTCATTGTCAGGTGTGAAAGAACAAGTCCATGTGCGAAGGTCCTACTAAACTGAGTTATTGCTACTACTCATGCCTATGCGCAGGAATCTTCTCAACTAAAGTTAGCCACTGCTTGGAGTTAGATAGGGGTCAACGGAATTCAAGGGTGGTCGTATTTATTTTGCTTGTGGCTACGTAGGGATTCTAGGCTGATCCCTCTTTTAACTCCATCCCCGGGTTCTGCCACTCCTCCTACAGTGAGTGTGTTTCCCATTTGTAATGGATATAAGTTAAATTCATAATTTTGCATCAAAGAGCTGCAAAGATTGAGGATGGAAAACGTCCGTTGAGCAGTTTTGTAGAGGTCACAAGGCTTTTGCCCTGGTTTTCCTCCTACTACTACTGAAGGTGGCATTATAGCAGCTCCCAACCATTTACGATACTTTTTCTCTTCTGGAGAATTGAGTCTAGATCACCTTTATTTATGGGTAGCCGTCATTTTTAGAGTACAAAATCTATATGCGTTATTTGCTTCTTTAAAAATTAAAATGTTCTTCTCCATGCTTTCCCCTTGCTTAGGAGATAGCCCTGCAACTCGCAAGTCGTCAGAGGACCTCGGAGAGGCAAGTTTCATCTCCTTCTTTACTGCCTGCTTAAGACCTTGCTTCAGTACCTTTTCTTAATCCTCCAGCCTGCAAAGCGCTTTATAAGGAAGGAGAAAGATCAAAGACCAGCATGCCCAATGCAATTAAAGGAGAGTCTATATCAGGGGTAGGCAACCTTGGCTCTTTTATGACTCGTGGACTTCAACTCCCAGAATTCCTGAGCCAGCCATGCTGAGGGGAAAGGGAGAGGTTTCCAAGCTGAGCCATTCTGGCTCAGGAATTCTGGGAGTTGAAGTCCACGGGTCATAAAAAGAGCCAAGGTTGTCTACCCCTGGGCTATATAAACTCCAAACTCTCCCCCTGGAAGAGAAGTTTAGCAGAAGATCATCAAGAGAAGAGAAAAAAATGTAGCTCAGGATTAAATTGCAAGGGTCCTTGGTGCTCTCTGGGCTTGGTTGTTAGCACTGATGATGTTACCTAGTTGGGTAGTGAAATGTCTGCAAAAAAAAAAAAAATCAACCAAACTCAGAGAACACCAAGGACCCCACTCCTCCTCCTCCCTCCTAGCATTGATGATGTTACACAGCTGGGTAATGAAATGTCTGCAAGAAAACAACCAAAGTCAGAGAGCACTTAACAACCATGTTACCAACTTAACAACTGCAGTGATTCACTTAACAATTAAGGTCGTCAAAGGGGGAAAATTTCACTGAACAAATGCCTCTCTTGGCAGCAGAAAGTTGGGGTGCAATTTGTGCTTGTAAGTCGAGAATTACTTGTATAATGTAAAAGTAACAATATCACACACACACACCAAATATCTATGTGTACGCAAATATACCCATTACACAAGAATAGGCTCACCTACAAAGAAATTGTACCACTATTTTTCCGTTTTTCTGTGTAGGGTTTTCCTAAAGAAATGGAGGCTAATTGTTACAGAAACCCTCTTTACCATTTTCCCGACCACAAACTGAGATTCCCAGGCACTACTTTTCAATCATTGGTTAGTCTCTTCTTCTCCCACCTGATGAAATTTTGGGACTAGGTCTTTTGAAGATCCTGGGCAACATGGTTTTTAACTGTAGTAAACAGAATGATCTGAGGGTTGGAAAGGAAATTCTTGACTTGATGAAAGCAGAGCCTTGATCTGCAGTTAGGGCTTGGGAATTCTGTGGCTGGATATGTGAACCCCCCCCCCCAAAGCATTTAAGCTGATTATGCAGCGCCCCCCCCCCGTCTCTTCCCCAATGAGCATAATGTCAGGATTGCAAAGAGGAAATTGAAAAGCAGAGAAACACATCACATATTTTTCCCTTGTCTTCTGAAATTTGCCTTTCTTGCTGTGCCTAGAAACTGCAGTCTGAAAATCTCCACAAAGAATTAAAGAATTAAATTGGGAGCTTAAGTGTAACTTAAGAAGTGCACTTAAAACACAGCCTGATCAACTGGATCCAAAAAACACACTCCGGGAACCAGAGACAGGCATTTAACAACTATATATAAGATTTCTTTCAGCATCTGCCTTTCAACCCTGATGATGTGTATTTGACGAAAGCTTGGTTGATTAAACTTTTAAACTTTTATTTCTTAAATTTCTCTTGGTGATCATTATTTTAATAAATATACATACATACATACATACATACATACACACATACATACATACATACATACATGCAGTTCTGCTGATGCCAAATGTAACATTTTAACTACTGTGTCTTGCCAAACTAAAACAAACATGGACAGGTAACACAGCCATGTACATGTTTTCTGGCCATTGCGTTATGTGCTTTTGAACAGCATAAACTAGTCATGTTTTAATTGGTTCTTACACTTTTAAATTGGCTCCTTCAAACTTTTTAAAGAAGGGACAGAAGGCTTTTCTTTTTTCAAAATAATTTAAGGTTCCTTCGGGAGAATGCAAGTATCCCAGAAGAGATTGCTCTTGCTGTGATTTTGAGGGAAATGTTTTAATTGATTTGCTAATTATTGGCCTGCATCTATGTGTTCCATCAACCTTTCCTTTCTCTTTCTCGGTCTGTCTGCTAGTTGGGATGGATATAGACCACACCAGTTATGTCCTCCTTCTGTTCTAACCTATAAGTGAGTTTTTCTTCCTCTTTTACTTTCACTGATTGTTGCTTCCCCCCCCCCCCAGTGTGCTGGTAATTTTCCTGATAATTTCTCATTTCACCTCTTTCTAAAATAGGGGTGTCCAACGTTGGCAAGTTTAAGACTTGAGGTCCGATAAGATTGGCTGAGGAATTGATGTTGCCCAGGTTGGACACCCCTGCTCTAAAGCCAGTTGACATCCCCTCTGACAGATGAAAAAGACAACAGTGGCTGGATTCACATACAGCAAGCTAAGCCATAAATCATGGTTTTATGAACTCCTTAACTGAGCTTCCTTGTCATGCTTAGCTATCGCCAAACAAACCAAGTTATGAATGTGAATCCAATTGGAGAATTTTCTTGCTTTAGTGCCACAAGCCACAAAATTGCCCAAATCTGTTCAGCAACCATTCCAGCCTTGTATAATTTTTGGATGATAAGGGAGCATCTTTACTGTAGTTTAATACAGGCTAAATCTCTGTCTCTTCGCAACTCTAATTTCTAAGTCTCTATATCCAAGTGGACCAAACTGGACCACTTTTTAATATTTCTGTTCTCCAGCTTGGGAGGTGGGCTTCTAGGGAACGCTGGAGGTTCACCTCCCGTCCTAGCCATTTCTCTGAATGTTTGGAAGGAATCCTTTTTAATAATGACATTTTTTTTCTTTTGTTTCTTTTAGAAATACCTCTCAGAAAGGAAGAATGGAAGAAGAAATTAACGATAAAATGATGTCGACCATTGAGGGCCTGAGTTCAGCCAAGTAAGAAAGCAGAACTGCTCTTCTTGCAGATAAGAGGAGAAGAGATTCCTTCTCTGTTTTTAGTAAAAATAAAAAAAAGGGTGTCATCTTTTCATCTTGGGCTTGTGTGGGCTGTCTATAGCCAGTCCATCAATTCAGTGGTGGGATTCAGCTGGTTTGCACCACTTCGGCAGAACCGGTAGCTAATTTTTTGTTGCCCAAGCCCAGAATGGACTTCCGGAAGTGGCATCCACACAGAGAATCTAAATACATGCTCGGTGGTCAAGTGCCCGAATTTTGATCATGTCACCAGGATGGTCATAAGTGGGAGCACTGACTGCAAGTCATTTTTTTCAGTGGTGGTGTAACGGTCACTAGATAAATGTGTTGTAAGTTGGGGACTGCCTATGTTATTTTGGATACATCGCTGCAAAAGAACCATGATTAGATTAGATTAGATTACCCTTATTGTACACATACACAACACACATTTAAAACATACTATATACAACATATGTATAGACCTACACCCTTACATATAAGTAACATCAAAATATTAATCACTGTCCATCTTGAATACATAATGGAAGGAGGAAGCTTGAGAGTTCACAAGGTTAATACTTGTATGGAACAAAGCTGTGGCTGAATCCGGATGTTCTGCTTCGGATACCACAGAGCCCCCACCCAGAAGGTAGCAAGGAAAACAGGTTGTGGAGAGGATGTGTCGTGTCCCAGACAACCTTGCAGGCCCTGCTCAAGCAATGCTTATATGCCACGTCCTGGATAGAAGGGAGGGAACTGCCAATAATCTTTTCTGCCCTCCTCACCACTCTCTGCACCGCCTTCCTGTCTGAAGCAAGGATGCTTCCAAAGCAGACTGTGATGCTGTATGACAGGATGATGTGGCCAAGACTGGGTTTAAAGACAGCCAGTTACTCTTTAATATTGTAATTCATTTCTGGAATTCTAAATTGGCTTCAGCTTTTCATCCAAAATTCTCTCTGTGCTAGATGCTAATGAGAAGGTTTAGTGTTACAGGCTTTTAAAAGCACTTACAGCAAAATTAAATCTTAACTTCAGAGACAATGCAGCAACTAGAAAGGCGCCATTAAGACTAGATAATTCTAAGAAATACATTTTGGTTCTGCAATGCAGGAACCAGTGAAACCCTCATTCAGAACTACTTAATTCTTTAGAACAATATTTTATCCAATACCTTTTATCCAGTTTTGACTGGAGGTCGTAAAACACAATGTAGAAAGTTTTATATCTTTCCCCCTTTTTATTGCTCTGTGTTATGTTTTCCTTTATTTGTCTGAATTCCAAAATACTTGCGTGTCTTTTTAATAACCTGATTTTTTGACCAACGAATCCTTTACTAAAATAATTAGAATTTCACACTTGGTGCGTAACAGTTTCTGCTTTCTTTTCCTTCGTGCAGACCATGGTGCGGTAAAAAAGATGATTTCCGTGGAGTGTGTGGCTTTTTGCTCTGCTTTGTTGAAACAGGACTGGAAAAAGAGGTTTGTAAGACATTGGAGGAATGTTTACCAGAGTAAAATCTTTCAGAGCTCAAAAAGGGTTGTCCTCTGGGCTTACCGTTTGAAAAGGAAGCTAACCTTAACAAATCAAAATGTAATCTTATGGTTTCCTGTTTACAGAATTTTAGGCTGAGACAAAACCTTCCATTCATTTAGCTTCAACCTGTGTCCTAGAAAAGGATATTTTCAGTTTTCCTTTGAATATCACTTCTCTTTTTTGAAGGAATCTGATGCCTTTTAGTTGGTAGGATTGTATAGAGGTAATATCTAAGGACTCCCACAAAAAAAAAAGGGGGGGGTCAACCTATTCTCCAAAGCACCTGAAGATAGAACAAGAAACAATGGATGGAAACTAATCAAGGAGAGAAGCATCCTGGAACTAAGGAGAAATTTCCTGACAGTGAGAACAATTAACCAGTGAAACAACCTGCCTCCAGAAGTTGTGGGTGCTCCATCACTGGAGGGTTTTAAGAAGAGATGGTCTGAAATGGTATAGGGTTTCCTGCCTGAGCAGGGGGTTGGGCTAGAAGACCTCCAAGGTCCCTTTCAACTGTGTTATTCTGTTAATCCTTGACTTACAGGCCACAATTGGGACCAGAATTTCTGTTGCTAAGCAAGGCCGTCGTTAAATGAATCATACATGTTTTTATCACCTGTTTTTGCCGTGGTGGTTAAGCAGGTCACGGCAGTTGTTAAGTGAACCGCATGGTTGTTAAACGAATCCAGCTTCCCTTATTGACTTTGCTTGTCAGAAGCTGACTTGGGAAGATTGTAAATGGTGATCAGCTGACCTCGGCATGCTGCAACCATCATAAATACGTATCAGTTGCCAAGTGCATGAATTTTAATTATGGGGATGCTGCAATGGTCGTAAGTATGAGGACCGATCATAAATCACTTTTTTCAGTGCCTTTGTAAACTCCAAACAGTCACTAAAGGACTGGTTGCAAAAAGAGAATTACCTGCAATTCTATATGTTATGTAGCAAAGAGGGTTGTATGCCAGATTTCATGCTGTTTATAACTTTTTTTGTTCTCCGTGACAAAGTCACCCCAAAAGATGGTCTTTTATGAATATATTGAAGCCTTTTCTGTTTCTTTTCCTTTTTTTTTTCCAGTATCGTACAATTCCTATTCGCAAATTGAGGGGTTATTTTGTGTGTGCTGGCATTGTTTTGCTCTGCATGTTTACAGTACAGATATGCATTATGCCATGGTAAGTGTTGTCTTTATTTTTTATTATGTATGCAATCAATCCAAGGATTGTCTACACATCCCATTAGATCGATGACATTGGCCAGTACTTCCTTTCCTGCAGAGCTACATTTGAAGAAGAAATTGGAGAGCCTGCTTGAACAGGGGGTTGGACTAGAAGACATCCAAGGCCTCTCCCAATACTGTTATTTTGTTATTCCATAACTCTATTATTTTTTGCACGCTCAGAGGTTTTTCTGCAGAATTGTAGATTTTTTTCCCCTGTCCCGGAGCGGAGTAGTAAGGAATAGAGTAACGAGGAAATAAAATAGCAACCCAGGCTAAATTTTTCTTCTTAATGTGCTGGCTTTCCACGCGCCTTGATTGTCTAAGTGCCAAGAGATTTTATTTATTTATTTCATTCAATTCATATGCCACCCATCTCATCATCTCGCAACTCTGGGCAACTTACATTAACATTAACTACAAAATGGATAAAAGAGGATATGGAGATGATATTTTCTCCAGATCTACTAGCCTCCATCAACTCAAGGAGGATTTATCTGCAAAAAAAAAAAAAAGCATGAAGCAAAGGGAATTTTCTACATATCTGTTTTTTGCTCCAAAGCTGTGATTTGATCAAGCATTTCTTGCATAGTGAAAAGCCACTTAGGAAAAGAAAAGCGCTTGGGATGGGTGATCCTAGTTAAAATTGAATAACAAACTCCAGATCTTCAGGGTCCAGTTTTGGTAGAAGAGATTTAGACCTTTGTGGACAATTTACAGTTTCTGAATTCTTAACCTGCTTTTGCTTGCTCTTTCCTTCCTCCTCCTTTTATTAATCTAGCTGAAATGTTAATTTATATTGCTAGTCCATGTGCGATATGCCATAGGCTGAATAAATCAATCCTCATTCTCTCTTTCAGGTCACAAACATTAGGAATCTCATTTGGGGTCGTAGCAGTCATCATGGGGCTGATTTTGTGTGTGTGCTTTGCGGATGACTGTTGGGTAAGTAAAATAAAGAAGGGAAATCAAAGTTTTAGACCAGTGTTTCTCAATCTTGACAACTTTAAGATACGTGGATTTCAATTCCCAGAATTCCCCAGACAGCATGATAACTTAAAATTGCTGAGGTTGAGAAACACTGCTCTAGATTGCAAAATGTCTTTTCAAAGATGCATTTTATTTTTTAAAAAACAAAATTTTATTAAATTTATATAAGTGAGGAAAAATAGGAACAATACAGGTATGGTAAAGGGAGGAGTAAAAGGAAGTGGGGAGGGGAAGGAAATAAGGAATTAGGGTAAAATAAGGATAGGTACAATCACATCTTTCAACAAACAAGCAACCGTCCGGATCATAATGATAAGTAAATATCATATTCAACCATTTTTAACAAAGCTTAAACTGTAACATATTAAAAACAATTAGTAAACAAATACATTGATCTCTTAAGTAAACACTATAATAAAATCTCAAAAAAAAAAATAAATCCTAACAATCAAAAGTAACAAATGAAAATCAGTAAATCAGGAAAAGTAATCATATCAAAATGTTAGTTAGAACTCGATTAAAAATCAGTCAACTATTCTAAAATATTGAATCCTTCAAATTCTAACGTGTCTCTAACCATTGATAAAATTTTTCCCAAGTTCTAAAATAAATTGAGTCATCTTTTTCTTTCATTTCTAATGTTAGGCTATCCATTTCTGCACACTCTAAAATTTTGGTAATAATAATCTGGTCAGATGGTAGATTCTCATTTTTCCAAAATTGGGCAAATACTATCCTTGCAGCAGTTAAAACATGCAATATCAAGTAGTCATTCTCTTTGCCATAATTAAGTCTTAATAGTCCTAACAAAAACAATTCTGGTTTAAATTCTATTTGTAGTTTCATCATCTTTTCCAACCACAAAGATGCATTTTATTAAAAGCTGAACTGTCCGCTCGGATTTTCAGATCTGCAAGTGGAATTATGCATTGCTCCCATTTGTGCAAATCCCAAAAACTTTGTAGTCTCGTTCTAGACTCTAGTTTTGTAGCAGAAGAGATTCAGACCCTTCTGGAGAATTTACAATTTCTGAATTCTTAATCTGCTTTTGCTTGCTCTTTCCTTCCTCCTTCTTTTACTAATCTAGCTGAAATGTTCATTTATATTGCTAGTCCTTGTGTGGTATGCCCTGGCTAGGCTGAATCAAGAGCTAGAATCCATGTCCTTTTTATCTGCCATGTGGCTATAAGGGCTGGGCTCTCAATTGTCATTTTTAGCCTGATTTCGATCCCAGACACATAAAATAAGAGTCTCTGACTTGGTATTTAAAAAGACCTCACAAAGGGAAGAAAGAAGGGGAGAGAGAAGGAAGAAAAAGTAAGAAACACAAGTCATTCTCAATTTACAACAGTTCATTTACTAGCTGTTCAAAGTTGCAATGGCACTTACAAAAAATTACTTATATGACCATTTTTCACACAAACGTTGTGGCATCCCAACAGTCACATGATCAAAATTCAGACACTGGGCAACTGACGTTTGACAGCTGCCATGTCCTGGGGTCATGTGACAAGCAAAGTCAACGGGGAAGCCAAATTCACCACTGTGTTACTATCTTAACCACTGCTGTGGTTCACTCAACAACTGTGGCAAAAATGGTTAGAAAATGGAGCAAAACCCATTTAGCCGTCTCACTTAATGACAGAAATGTTGGGCTGAATTCTGGTTGTGAGTCAAGAACTACCTGGAGTACTGGATTATAGGAATTGAATGGAAGCTCATCAGATTATAGAGGAGGCTTCAGAGATGTCCAAACAAATTGTGGAAATTACTCCTGGTTCTTTCAGCGGTCTAGTCAAATTGCTGTGGTCCTAATTATCCTCAGGACTGCAAACACGTGTGATGGGTGTGATGTAACGTCTGTGCTACCGGTGGCGGATTTGCCATCTTGAAACCTTTCTTCTTCGTTGGCAGAGTTGCTGCGCAAAGCGATGGCCGCTAACACGCTACTTCCGCCTGCTTTCTGAGAAAGTGGAAACGATGCCCTCCATCAGGCTTCCCCTGGCCATCCTTGCCCTCGGCTCGCTGCTGATCCTTGCTGTTTTCAATCTGGTAATGCCTTCCGTTGAATGTTCACGGGGAAGCACGCCGTGGCCCTGCTTGCCCCCATCTGCAGTCATGGCTGATGGGAAGGCCTTATATCAGTGTTTCTCAACCTTGACAATTTTAAGGCATGTGGACTTCAACTCCCAGAATTCCACAGCCAGCAATTCTGGGAGTTGAAGTCCACATGCCTTAAAATTGTCAAGGTTGAGAAACACTGCCTTATATGATGGGATGGGATGATAAGATGAGATGAGATGAGATGAGATAAGATATATTATCACTTTTTTCTGTGAACACAGTGGCACCCATTAAAAAATGAAATTCTGATGCCCACTCTCAAAAGATATCTATATATCTATATCTATTATATCTATCTATCTATCTATCTATCTATCTATCTATCTATCTATCTATGTGTCTATCATCTGTCTATCTATCTATCCATCTATTTATCTAAGTGTCATCTGTCTATCTATCAATCAATCATCTATCTCTATATCTAATCTCTATATCTATATCTATTCTCTATATCTATATCTAATCTATATCTATATATCTATACACACATACATGCATATATATATATATATATATATATATATATATATATATATATAAACAAAACACTCAAGATAAATCTCCTTCCCTGGTCTCTTCCCTCCCTGATACAGCTGACAAAGTGAGAAAGAGCCTGTGGCTTAGGGTCAACATAGCTGCCTAACATGCAAGCAGCCCAGGTTCGAATCTCGGAAGGGTATGTCTGGCTGATGAGATCTAATCAGCTCGAAATAGCTATCCCAGTCTCCCTTAATTCTTTGTTAGCAATCCAAAAATTTAGGATACACACACACACACACACACACACACACACACTATACATCCACATCCACACACAGACACACACACACATGTAATATATATTAATCGTAGACCATTTAGAATACATAGCAGAAAAAAGAGTCTTGAGAGTTAACAAGGTTGATATTATATGGTACAAGGCTATTACAAAATCTAGTTGTTCTGCTTCGGATGCTGCAAAGCCCCCTCCCAGAAGATAATCAGAAAACTGGTCATGCAGAAGATGTGTAGTGTCCCAGATAATACAGCATACCCTGCTCAAGCATTGCTTACATGCCACATCCTGGATAGAAGGAAGTAAATTGCCAATGATCTTTTCTGCTGTCCTCACCACTCTCTGCACAGCCTTTCTTTCCAAAACAGTAATACACAGTAATACAATATGACAGGGTGCTTTCAGTCTTCCCTCTATAGAAAGTGGTGAGAACAGGGGAAGGAAGATGTGCTTTTCTCATCCGATGCAGAAAATGCAGGCGCTGCTGTGTCTTCTTCACCAGTGTCTCACTGTTGAGCGACCAAACTAACCTGCTCATCAGCTGCACACCCAAAAGCTTGATACCACTAACCACAGTTGAATCTAGCAAGGAGCATGCACATAACTTGGGGAATTCATGCTATAGAAGAAAAGTAGCTGAGAAAACCACAAAAAGTTTCAGTGAAGATGGACAGGCTTGGGGAATAGGAAAGTATTTAGAGATAAGATGGATATGACAATAAATGAGGTTGTTATTATGATGGTTTTTTTCTACTTTAAATATGTTGTCAGTTTTTCAAGAATTTATTAGCTGGACCACCAGAATTCAAAAGCTGCAAAATTTATTTTTTCTTTGAAAATGTTTCGCTTCTCATCCAAGAAGCCTCTTCAGTTCAACCCTTCTGTCGCTTCAATTGCCCTTCTTTTCCTTACTGTTTTGGTAATAAATGTATGTGTTTTGAATTGCCACCAGAAGATTCCCTAACCAGCTTTTAATGTCTTCACTAGCTAGTGAGCCAGTCTGGTGGACAACGTACCTCACCAAATTCCAACCCAGTGAGTAAAAATTTGATTTTATTGGCTGGAATAATTGCTTGGGTTTCATAGCAGGTGTGAGCTATTCAACAGGTTCTTATCACAAGATGAAAATACTCTATAATGTTGTGATTATAGGCTGCACTGACTTTATCTAGCTTTTCCATCTCCTTTCTGTAGAATAGATTTGTTGCTGCTACTGCTCACAAATTGCCTTTTTTTAAACAAGAGCTTATTGCAGGATAGAGATTTGCAAATGAACCTTGCTCTATTCGGATCTGACCTTGATTGTGTTGCATTTATATTCTGTGGATGCTCTTGGCTAAAAGCCAGGTTAAAAATTCAGAATGCGAATGATTAAAGTGAGTTTGAATCCATTGGAAACGTTTATTTTGAAACATTAATCCCATGCATAACTTTTTGTTGGGGGGGGGTCATCTATACAGGCAGTCCTCGAATTATAACCATTCATTTAGTGACAGATTGAAGTTACGACCACAGCACGGAAAAAAGGGACTTATTTTTTTCACATTTACAACCGTTGCAGCGTCCCCCTGGTCATATGATCAAAATTTGGGCACTTGGAAACTGGCATGTATTTATGACAGTTGCGTTGTCCTGGGTTTGAGTGATCACCATTTGTAACCTTCCCACCCGGCTTCCGACAAGCAGAAATTCTGGGAGTTGAAATCCACAGGTCTTAGTTGCCAAGTTTGGACACCCCTGGTTTATATTTTGACTCACACAATATTTTAAAACAATAGTAATAATAAGCCCTCTGATAATAATAATAATAATAATAATAATAATAATAAAGTTGGAAGGGACCTTGGAGGTCATCTAGTCCAATCCCCTGCTTAGGCAGGTAACCCTACACCATTTCAGACAAATGGCTGTCCAGTATCTTCTTAAAAACTTCCAGCATTCACCGCTTCTGGAGGCAGGTTGTTCCACTGGTTAATTGTTCTCACTGTCAGGAAGTTTCTCCTTAGTTCCAGGTTGCTTCTCTCTTTGATTAGTTTCCATCCGTTGCTTCTTGTCCTGCCTTCAGGCGCTTTGGAGAATAGCTTGACTCCCTCTTCTTTGGGGCAGCCCCTGAGATATTGGAACGCTGCTATCATGTCCCCCCTCGTCCTTCTCTTCATTAAACTAGACATACCCAATTCCAGTAGTCTGACATGAAAACATGACTGCATGATTTACTTACCAAATGCAGTGATTTGCATAATGACAATGGGCAAGAAATGAGTTACAACTCATTTAATGATTTCCTTGCTTAGAAATGGAAATTTTGTGGTCAATCATGGTCATAAGCCGGGGATTGCCTATAGATTTTTTTTTTTGTCAGCCCCACTGAATAGTTCAGACTGGAAAGCATTTACACAGGCAGACTAGAACTACACTTTATGGAGATAAAATATAATAACAAAGGCCTGTATCTTCCCTCCTTCTTTTACCACAGTATGTCAGTTAGGAGGCTTTTTCTACCTTGTTTCTTAGCACTAAAATGTATTTCAGCCCTCTTGCGTATTTTTGTTAAGTTGTCTCCTCACAGTTTTTCTTGTGTGAAGCCCATTGTATCACCTCAATCATTATTTATATTTTTCCCTTCTTTCCCTCCCCCCTCAAAAAAAAACAGCTGCCAAGAAACCATTCAGATACTGAAGATGGATCATCTAATATGATTACCATCTACCCGGTGAGTGGAGAGGGATGTAATATTTTAAAAGTACGGATTTGGGTCCAGCCCTGGGTAACCTGCTTGGACAACAGAACCTCTGCTAGTACTCTGACATGGAAACAATTAGCTAACTCTTGCTTAAATCCTTCTTTTCTACCAGTATTATGCCTACTGCTGCCTCCTGAGCTTCATTGCCTGTTCTGTGTTTCTCCGAATGAGTTTTGAACTCAAGCTACTGCTGCTCTCGGGAGCCGTCGTGGGATATTTCATCGTATTTAACCGCAATCCGTATGTCACTTGCGACCCGGACTGTGCACAGAGGTAGGAAGAGCTTGTATCTCACGAGTAACTTTGCCAGGGGATGGAGTGAGGTGGGGTGGGGTGGGATGAAAACGATAGTGAAGTGATAGTGGAAGAGATTAAGTTATTCAGGTCTATGCAGGCTATTTTAAGATACCATTTCCCATTGAAACTATTGTGATGGTGCATATTGTTTTGGACTGGGTACTACAAAATGCCACAAGGGGCAATTGGATTGTTTCTTTGATGTCACTGTTATAAATAGCATTTGCCTTTCTTCTATTTACATACTTTATTTTGAGCACTGAAATGAATGTTCTAACAAGTTTGAAATGAGCTCACATTTCCCCTTACTTCCTTTTTTCTTTCTTTCTTTCTTTCTTTCTTTCTTTCTTTTTTTCTTTCTTTCTTCCTCCCTCCCTCCCTCCCTCCCTCCCTTCCTCCCTCCCTCCCTCCCTCCCTCCTTCCTTCCTTTATTTATTTATTTATGAGACTTATATACCGCTTTAAGTACAAGCACTCTCTAAGCGGTGTACACCAGTAAGCAATGTATATATATATATATTTACATTGCCCCCAACAATCTGGGTCCTCATTTTACCTACCCCGGAAGGATGGAAGGCTGAGTCAACCTTGAGCCGGTGAGATTTGAACCGCTGACCTGCTGAACACAGTCAGCTAAAGTGGCCTGCAGTACTGCACTCTAACTGCTGCGCCACCTCGGCTCATTCCTTCCCCTCCCTTCCTTCCCCTTCCTTCATTCTTTCCTTCTTCGCTTCTTTCCTTCCTCCCTCCCTCCCTCTATTCCCCTTCCTTCCTTCCTTCCTTCCTTCCTTCCTTCCTTCCTTCCTTCCTTCCTATCTTCCTTCCTTCTTCCCTTCCTTCCTTCCTTCTCCCCTTCCTTCCTTCCTTCCTTCCTTCCTTCCTTCCTTCCTTCCTTCCTTCCTTCCTTTCTTCTCTACCTCCCTTCCTGAAAGCCACTTTCTCTTGAGGAAGATACTTTTAACAAATATCAGTGCAAGTTTCTTTCTTATGCATTCTGTAGTTCAAACTTTTGAACTTTTTCAGTCATAAACTTGTGTGTTTCATGTAATTGTTCTAATTTGTTCTTTTATTTTCTACTTCAGGCTTTTTATAAAAAATCCCAGAGTGATGATCAATTTGTACCTGGCACTCTTTTATATAACTCTGGTTCTGTTGTCCAAGCAGGTATGGATTCATGTATGGCTTATGTCTGTTTCTCCTCAAATTTTCAGCCCCATAATTGGGAAAGTTGACCCCAACACCCAGAAGTGTCTTTCTATTAGTCATCATCATTATTATTATTATTGCTCTTTACATCTGTCATTGTCATCATTGTTTGTTCACAGAACAAATGTATCAAATGACACTGTATACAATAAAAACTGAACTATGAAAAACTAAAACACAGAGCTCCTTTATAACTTGGAAAATAGTCTATCTATATTGCAAAGTTTTCCCACCGTCACCAGGATAGAACAATCTTTGGCGATCTTTTCTGAGAATTCTGAAATTCTCAGAAATCTGCTAGTAGAAATGCATTTTCTTCCATAGAATAGCCAATGTAATTAGCAAGGAGTGATGATTTGAACTCAGAGTAGCACATACCATGTGATGAACAACTCAACAAAATACGATGTTGATTCAATAGACCTTCCATGTAGGAGCAGGTCATTGAAACTCATTGTTGGTCAAATATAAAGCTGGATGGTGATGTCACAGTTGACTTTTGTCGTTATTTTCTTAATGCACAACTTTAATGCTCAAAAATTACGTAGGAAGAAGACAAGAGCAAATATTTTGAACTATGGGGATGTTACAGTGGAAGATATTAATCAAACAGATTCCTTTTTCACCAGAATGTCATTTTCTGATGGAGTTCCAACTAGTGCATTTGGTACATCTGCTTCCTAATAGTGGAAATGTATTATCCCTATGTAGCGATGCACACAAAACCAAAATAACAAATCCCAGCCCTTCAGTACACAAATAAAGCATTCATCATAGTCTAATTTTCCTCTGAAAAGCACATTTCTATTTTAAACTGCCTTTAATTGTTTATCCCAAGGCATTGCTCTGGGCTGTCCATATTGACTTAGCAATCACTTGATATTATTGTTGTTAATAATTTTACTTGTTTGAGCTCTATGCCTGTGAAGTGGCTATGATTGCGCGGATCTGAGCATAAATCCCCATGTGCAAGGTACGTGTCTGTACAAATTTGGGCCTTTTATATTAAAATATAATAAGGCAAATTATCCATCTACAGCCGTTACAGTTCAGAAAAACGAATGAACAGCGATTTAGGCAGGTAGGCTTAAGCGCCAAAAAGTGGAAATGAACCATTTTGTGTTGTGATTGTTGTTAAGAAAATACAACGCCTTGCCCACTTTAGAAACACAATTTATTGTTTTAGTTTTGTTATATGCTGTCCAGAGTCACTTGCTCATGAAATGGGTGGCTCTGTAAATTAGATAGAGATAGATAGATAGATAGATAGATAGATAGATAGATAGATAGATAGATAGATAGATAGATAGATAGATAGATATAGGCAGGCAGGCAGACAGACAGACACAGACAGACAGACTGAAAGACAGACAGACAGACAGACAGACATGCATGTTTACTTAAAAGTAAAATTTATAGGAATCACTGAAACATGCAAAGTCAATTGGATTAAGGTCATTGCATAAATGAATTGTTGTCATAAATCGTTTTCTAATCTTTGCAACATCAGTATGGGATAAACTTTGTTGCTGATACTTTTGGGAACTAATTCCTGACTCCTTGTTTGTTTACAGATAGACTATTATTGTCGTCTGGATTGCCTACAGAAAAACAAATTCAAAAAGGAACATGAGTCATTTGAAACCATGGAGAATGTAAACAGGCTACTGCTTGAAAATGTCCTCCCAGCTCATGTGGCGGCCCATTTTATTGGGGACAAATTAAATGAGGTATGGAAAAGTTCACTGTAATGTTACATAGCAGAAGCTTGGTTGAAGGTGCTGATAGCGCTTCGATTGATCTTGAAGAGGTCATTCACTAAAGCTGCCCTCAAATTAAAAAGAAAGAAACCTAAGTACTGGTAGAAAACCCATTCTCAGTGGCTGATTCATACAACACATTAAGCCTGGCTCCTTGATTAAGTCATCTTGATTTGGTTTAGGTATAACAGTAAGTCATAAGCCATGATTCACAAGCCACAGGATCTGGATTCATACCGCAAGCTAAGCCAAAACTATGTAAATCATTATAAGGTTTTGGAATGTCACCCCATCCACAACTATGGATCCTAAGCCATGGAGGGCTCTTTTGAGGGAGATGCTACATAAATAAAATTTATCATCATAATCCAGTATCTGAATATCTGAAAATTCAGAAGGATCTTCAGCCAAGAGAACATGTGCGCACTCTTTAAACCCAAGAATACACTAAGGCAGAAGCTTGTCCACCCCCAGGATAAAACACCCAGACACAAACTGAGCAATGCGGTGTATGCAGTACAATGCACTGAGATATGTGCATATCTGTACATTGGGGAAACAAAACAAACCACTTCACAAACGCATGGCACAACATAGGAGAACAAACCCATCAGGACAAGATTCAGCAGTCCATCTGCATTTAAGAGACAAAAGCTATTCTTTTGAAGACAGCAAAGTCCACATTTTGGACAGAGAGGACCGCTGGTTTGAAAGAGGGGTCAAAGAGGCCATCTAGGTCAAAACAGAACAGAAGGGGAGGGATACAACATCATCTAGATAGATGTTTCTACAATAGAGTCCTTCCAGCAGTTCCAAGAAGGCTCCACACCCATTTGCACCACTTGGGTGATCCTGAGGACACAGCTAAACCTCCAAGTGGCCTCAATGACTCTCTAAAAGGATGCAAATGACCAGCTGTCTGCAAGGAGTATAAATCCTTCCATTCCCCACCATTCCAGTCAGAGCTGAAGAAGCTTCTTGGATGAGAAGCGAAACGTCTTCAAAGACAATCAAGAAAGCCCCCTTGCCTCTTGAAAAAGCTCCCTTGGGACAACTCCAAGTTTAGTAAGAATGATATTAATTTTAGGGAGTTACTTCTCAAGGGCTCATTGTGCACTATAGATTCTTAGGAGTGACAAAAGAGGCATCACACACACACACACACACACACACAAATGGCAAATGAATGAAACATTGGAAGAAATATGGGCGGGCTGGCTGACACAAGAAAAGAGTAGCATATAATGAGAAAAAGATAGTAATAATGGAAGAGATGAAATTAATAAACGAAGAATTACTGAAGAGGAAACAGAATATGGTTAAGAATTGTAAGACGGTAAGGATGGAAATAATATGTTTAAATAAGAGAAGTTAGGGACATCCAAATGGTAAATAGTATGTTTGTTTAATGCTAAGTTGGATATGGTATTTAAAAATTAATAACAGCTGAAAACAGGACTTTGATTTATATACTGTAAATAATGGGTTGCAGATAACCTTTATTGATTAATGGGATTTTTATTTAGGAACATATAAATGAATGAATTTTATCTAGAGATGTATTAATTTGACTATATCATGTTAATTGATAGAGAGGGAAATTTTAAGGAGTATTATGTGAGCTGTATATTTATGATGTTATTATATTCAATTGATTACCCTATCTCCACGTTGGCTCTTAAGCTTCCGGGTGCAAAAATGGAAAAATCAATAAAATTGTTTTTAAAAAAAGAAAAGAAAAGAGTAGCACCCCTTAATGCAAGTCAGTGTGGCAGGTTCCTTTGTATAGCACCTAATATTTTACTTGTGCAATTTCGGTGGACTTACTAGAGAGGAACTTTGTGTGTCATTGTTGCCTTGGTTAAAAGGGGTGGGCGGAGAGAGGTGGGGGGGAGTAGAGCATTACGCTGAAAGCAATTGTTCATGAACCTATTGTTACATGTCCCCCAGGACTGGTATCATCAGTCTTACGACTCCGTGTGTGTCATGTTTGCCTCAGTCCCCGACTTCAAGGTATTTTATACGGAGTGCGACGTCAACAAGGAAGGACTGGAATGTCTTCGTCTCCTGAATGAGATCATTGCTGATTTTGATGAGGTATCTATTTGTTGACTTTGGCTTCTGCAGTCCTCTGGGTTCACTTGGCAGCTTGAAGATGTGGACTTCAACGTGCTGGCTGGGGAATTCTTGGGAGTCCACACACCTTCCAAGTTGCCAACGTTGAGAAACGCTTGCTCTGCCTATGTAGATTTACTACTTGAGAACTCAGATGAATCTTCTCCTCAAATATTTAGCAGGGCTTGTTCACCTATGTGATTTAGCCATGCTTCAGTCTTAATAGACTCCACCTGAAACAGATGTTAATGAAAGGTACACCCAATTCCTACATGAGGTTGTGAAAGTGGGTGGATGATGGGTGTGTCTCGGCAAGTGGCAGTCCCAAGCTAACCTTGTCTGAACTGGAAACCCTAGAAGGATCAAGCGTGGTTAGTACAGATAGTCCTTGACTTATAACCCCAGCTGAGCCCAAAAATTCTGTTGCTAAGCAAGACCCTTGTTAAGTGCGTTTTGCCCCATTTTACGACCTTTCTTGCCACAGTTGTTAAGTGAATCACTGTATTTGATAAGTTAGTGACATGGTTATTAAGTGAATCTGGTTTCCCCATTGACTTTGCTTGTGAGAAGGTCACAAAAAAGTGATCACATGACCCCAGGACACTGCAACCGTCCTAAATATGAGTCGGTTGCCAAGCACCAGAATTTTGACCATGCAGTGATGGGAATGCTACAATGGTGTGAAAAAGGGTCAAAAGCCACTTGTCACTTTGAATGTCATTAAACAAATGGTTATGAGTTGAGAACTATCTGTAACAGAATAGGACACTGCCAGAGTTGTAGACTTGACTGGAAAACTGAACAACGATCTGGCAGAAAGAACTGTTGCAAAATAAATGGTTGTGTCAATGAGACCACTAGGAGTCAAGTTTGATTGACAGGGTTTATTATTATTTTTTGACCTGATAAAATTTAAAGAAGGAATCAGCTGGGAACAGTGGTAGGGAAGGAACATAACTCATTTGTACCACATAATATTTGTACCACAGAACAACTCCAGATTCCATTCTTTGCATCTTCAGATTGGAAGAACAAGGGAGCTGATTCTTCTGACCTTTCTTCGAAAGCTATTTACAATATTGGGCTAAAATTTATGATCAAAAATAGCTGAAGACTTCCTATATTAAGCCAGAATATTGTACAGTGTTTTAATTTTATTACTTTAGCAGGATAACAGTTCACGTTGAATTGGTAGCCTTCAGTAATTGAAAAGTGACAAATTAAAAAGCGTGGCTGGTCTATCGGGATTTTGAGAGTTGAAAGCATTACACCGAACCTCAAGTTATACAGATTAATCAAATTACATTTTATCCTTAGATATCTGCAAAAAATTGAAAATATTAGACTGAATTCAGTATCTGTAGAAGCGCAACTTGAGTTGGCTCATTTTTTCAGAAAACGTGGCCTTTCGTACAATTAGAAAGTGAGAGAATGGACAGCTCCTAAATACTATATATTTTTTTCTTCAACAGCTGCTGCTAAAGCCTAAATTTAGTGGGGTTGAAAAAATCAAAACTATTGGGAGCACGTACATGGCAGCATCTGGACTCTGCGTGGTCCCTGGTCAAGAGAATAATGTGGTAGGTCTCCTTTTGAGGGGTTAATTCCTTAGAACAGTGTTTCAATCTGAAGATGTCTAGACTTCACTTCCCAGAGTTTTTTGAGTTGAAGTCCATATATCTTCAAGTTCACTTCATATCAAAATTTTGAAGTAACTTATAGTTCATATTTGTCCTAATCATACCCAAACATTTTACCTCAGTCTTAAAACCCATTTTATTCATCAGTTCTGTTTTATCTTCTAGTCTCATATTTCTGTTAACAACTTCGTCTTCTGTTTATTATTCTTAAAATCTGCTAATGGACCACATTCTTTCTGTTTCCCTATTATTTCATTTTGCTTTAAGGAATCTTATAGAACTAAGACTAAGTCATTAAAAGCCCTTCACTTTTAAGGTTTTTTTTTTTTTCATTTTTAACCCCACAGTGTTCTCATCTTGTCTTATAAGTGAATTCAGTAGTTCCAGAACTAAACAAGAGAGGGGACAATGGGCATCCACGTCTTGTCCTTTTTTGTGTGTCTCACAGGGTTTTGTTAGATCTCCATTAACGATTATTTGTGCTTCAAAGTGTAGATCCATCCAGTGTAGATGGATCTCATCCACTTTATGAAGGTCTCTCCAAAATTTGTATCTTCCAAAACCTTAAACAAGAAAGTGTGGTTCAAATTAGCAAAGATCTTTTGTACATCTACAGCTTGTCTTTCATTGTGTTGCTCCAAATATTCCAAAATGTCCAATGCATTTATAACGTTATCCTTTTAACTGCTTCTGCCAGCTATAATAGTTGGTTTTCATAAGATATATTTTTGATGAAGGACAAGACAGTGGCAGTGTTTAAGCAATGCATCGATCCTGTACGCACTAAGATTTTGCCCTGAACTGAAGGGATCACTGAATCTACCACTCACCTTCTGTTACACTGCTACTTTTTCAAAGATGTCATTACATTTTACACCTCATGTTTTAGTAGAATATCAATCCAATTTCCAGGCCATTTGGATTTCTTATATAAAAGTTGCAGTCTTTGTTTTTGGAATGTAACCACTTCCCACCATCTGTTTAGGATCAAGAAAAACAGTGTGCTCAAATTGGCATCATGGTGGAATTCGCCATCGCCTTGATGACTAAACTAGATGGGATCAACCGCCATTCGTTCAACAATTTCCGTCTCCGTGTTGGTAAGTTTTGGGACGAGGTAGTCCCAAATCCTCCCAGATCAAAAGAGTGGTATGCTGTGTTTTTTATATATATATATTAAGGATACTGTCCTGGTTCCAACAGATGAAACTCTTCAGAAGAACTTCGAGGCATTGTTTTACCTTAAAGAATCTTTATTTTGAGTAGCATAATATCGGCACTGCATAATCAAAGCCCAAAACTGAATTCCCCTCCCCTGGGGAATTACATAGTATCAAAGCACAATTCCCTCCTCCAATTAACAGTCATAAATCACATTCGCCAATTAGCTCCAAGCGCAGGCTTCCTCTCCAGTTCTCCAGCCCGCCAATTCCTTATCAGCTCTAGTTACAATAACCTTGTTTCTCACGCTAGGTTTAGTGTTGTTATGACTAGCTGAACTCTCATTCACACACCCCCTCCCAGCTTCATCTAACTCTAAAAGCAAAAGGTAAAAGATGGCTACATTTCCATCTGTTGTCAATGCAAAAACATTCCTGATTGTTTTCTTCCAAATTTGCATACAACCTGTGTATACCTTATATGATACATTTATTTTCTCCTTCCCCATCCTGTTTATCAGGCATCAATCATGGACCGGTAGTAGCTGGTGTGATCGGTGCCCGCAAACCCCAATATGATATTTGGGGAAACACAGTCAATGTTGCCAGCAGAATGGAAACTACTGGAGAACTTGGGAAAATCCAGGTAAAGGAAGAAGAGAAATTTTGGATTTTGATAGAAGGAAACTTCAACAATAACTCTATACTGAACGTGGAGATTAGTTCAGCCAAGCCATATAGCTCTTAACTACTGGGAAATATGGGGGGGGGGGGTTGCCACATCTGCTGGGATTTATTTCTATGATCCATCTTTAGCTTTGACCGTGCAGATAAACGTACTGATTTTTATAAGTTCTCCTGGAAGTGCCAGCAAAAAAACAGGGTCCAAAACCAATCAAATATTCACTGAAGATTTTGAATGGTCTCTCCACTTCTGTTTCATACACAGGTGACGGAAGAGACATGCAAAATACTGAAGAGCTTGGGATATGCTTGTGAGTGCCGAGGACTGATTAATGTGAAAGGAAAAGGAGAATTGATCACTTACTTTGTCTGCACCGACACAGCCAAATCCCAAGTTTTTTGACCCGAAAGAGAAGAGGCTGAGAAATTACATTTGAAATTTCTTGTTGGACTTCGTTTTTATTTTTTTTAGCAACGGTTAAATTCTGTCATCTTCCGTAAAGGAGTTTTATGCCGAATGTCTGTGCTGGCGTTTTGCGTCTCAAGAGAAGAAAGCAAGAGGTTCTTGAAAGATGTTTATAGTCGAGTCTACTGGATGCCATTTTTTTTTTCTTCCTGCCACAGGGGACCCAGAATTTTCTGTGGACTGGCAGCCGAGCGGGTTGCTTGCTTCAAGATGCCCTGCCCTTTTGCTTCATCCTTGCCTTCTCGTGAGGATAGATTGGAGGATTGCGATAGCACTGCCTTGAGCAAAAATCAGATGACAATAGACTGGGTTGGAACCTGGATCTGGAAGGCCTTTTTAGGTAGAACTACCATCTGCTCTGCCATTAAATTGTGATCCCTCCTCTCACTGTCCATTAGAACCGCCCTCAGATCTGCTGCAGATCCCCCCAAACTGCACTTCCACTTTTCTCTTCAACTAATGTTTCAAGACTCAAAAATACCTTCCTTGCAGTCCTTCTATACCAGTGGTTCTCAACCTGTGGGTCGGGACCCCATTTGGGGTCAAACGACCATTTCCTGGGGGTTGCCAAACAACGCAGTCCGCCATTTTTTTCCCCCTTTTCCTTAGCTGTGCTGCTCCCTTTTATTCTATTGGCTTTTGACCGGTTGGGGGTCGCGGCATTAAAAAGGTTGAGAACCACTGTTCTATACCATTACAAAATAAATTAGACCTGTCTGTTTTCATCGCTACTTACCTCATTTCTGTTCTGGAAGGAACAGCCTAAGGGAGAACTTCCCCAGCTAATGCAGATTTGCTTTTCTGGAACTCACTTCTTGGACTTGGTATCAACAACACTTGTGGGTTTGAGTCTTAAATGTGCTTGTTTTTTTTAGGGTTGAAGGACTCTAAGCCCTTTCCTTCCTTTTTCTCTTGTTTGTCTTTGCAAGATGCGATTTGAGTTCAACAGCCATTCAGTGGCCTATAGTAATGTGGAAATTCCTGCATTCTCAGTGTAAAATCCAGGCTCTTTCTTAATTAGAAACCCTGCTTATATAAATTATGGGCAATTCCTAGTACAACTGTACTACTAATTCTAAAATAGAATGGTGGATTAATCTCCCAAATGGGTTGCGGTGCAGAGAAGCTATTGGGCCTTTTTTTTTTTCCCCCTTGGTGTCAGAAACACCCTCATTATTTTAAGTGACGTAGAGCATTACGCACAGGGCCTCCGTGTCCCTGGCAGCTTCTGTTCAAACACTGCATACTAAGTAAAAACTGTCCATATTGTCCTGCCGAATTTTATCTTGTGTAGGTTCGCAACCAAAATGAACAAGAAGCAGGCCAGGTAGTCCTACAGGTATCCCTTGATTTATGACCCACTTGGGATCAGATTTTGCACTGCAGTCGTTAAATGAATCACCCGATTTTATGACCTTGTTTTTCCACGGTTGTTAAGCAGGTCAACTGTTGTTAAAGGAACCACACAGCCGTTAAGTGAATCCAGCTTACCGTATTAATTTTGCTTGCTGGAACCCATTTGGGATGTTTGAAAACAGCGATCAGATGACCCTGAGACCATCAAACAAATATATCCTGGTTGTCAAGTGCCCAAATTTCGACCGTGTGTGTCGTGGTTACGATAGATGAGACCAGTAAAAAGAACTCCAAGGAAAAAAAGTTTGGCTACATAACTTTGGCTACGTAATATCAGCATGTTCAAAAGTGAACCCAAGACTGAAACAACCTCCCCCCCAAGGCTATAAAGTTACAAGTGAAACTTCCCACCTCTGTAGTATGTCATAAATCTCATCTCCCAATTAACTACTTGCGTGGGCTTTCTAACAAAAGATACAACCTGCCAAAATGCAGCTAGCAATGACCTTGGTTCCCATGTATTGTTACAGCTAAGATAAAACTCTCATCTCCTTCCTCCCAAGTCAGTGGCAACCGAAAACGAAGGGAAAACGGCTTCAGCTAATTTTGTTGTAGAGTTGACACCGTGGAAATGCCGCAAGGGAAAAAGTGCGAGGACCACTTACTTTTTAAAGGGTCGTTGTAAGTTGCATTGGCCACTAAATGAATGAGGACTACCTGCACTGTGTCTGTGCCAGCCTCGTCTATGTCTCTCCCTACTATTCATCTCTACTCTTATTTCAAAGTATGATTTTGCTTTTTGCATCAGGATTTCTGAAGGATCCATGGGCCGTTTTAAAGCATTGCTAATCTTTAGCATCAGCTGAAGGTGGGTTTTGACTACGTGGGAAGCCACACCACAAAGTGTAACGAAACCGTGATGCACTTCAGGGAAGGGTTGGGGGGAAAACATGTTGTTAAAGCACAACAAGAATGCTACTCGTGAAATAAAATTATTGTCTGAAAAAGTCCACAGCAATGCTACCTTATCTACACAAATTACAGTTTCTTTTAGATGGGACTATGGAATTGAACACGCAACTACGGAAAGGTGTTTTGTTTGACACCTCTGATATTGTGCAAAATTAGGGCAACCAATTGAAAGAATGATTTCCTTGTGCATCAAATCTAGAACAAGCAGGAAGAAAGGACAGCATTTATTTAAGATTATCTCTAAAGTACTAGTGACTTTTGTTGACTGGTACTGTTAAGGACTGCCTATATTTTGCTGTGATTTTATTCCTGCTAGATCCATTTGTGTAAGGCTTTTTAGAATGCATTTTAGATATAAAGATTTATAGATTTGAAGAAATTGGAGTATTCTCTGGAGTAAATCTATTAATGAGGACTGCTCGTATTCATTTTGAAAAAGCTTCACAGCGCAGTTCAGTTGACTGCAAATCCTTTTATGCTGAACCCTGTGTGCACCCTTTATTGTGTTCATTATAATTACTGTGTAATTAATATGTGGAGGATGAATTTCCTACGTTTCATGATGGGAACAAACTTCTAGTGAGGTCTTACTATAGATAAAGGACTTTTAGAAAGTCTTAGGAGATTAAAGTAGATTCTTTTCAAGAGTATTAAGATAAAATAATCCTGGGTAGTGTTAAAAAGGTTGGGCAACTGTTTTAAGTTAATGTGAATTATTACTTTTCCTTTCTTGTTTTTATTGTACATTTATTACAAGTTTGGTTTTTAAAATAAAAGGCAGAATGTTTTGCTTCAGAAATTCTCTACTAACATTTGAAATAATTAGCTTTGACAACTGCTCTCAAAGGTATGTCGACAGAAGCGTTTGCGAAGTCGTTGTTTTCTATCGTGCATTATATTGCTGTTCCAGGCAAACTGGTCTAAGCTATGTTGCTTCCACTTTTTAATTCTTCTATATTAAACGTTTCATCTTATTTGATGTTATTTCTTCTCTACTTTATACACAAATTTTCTTAAGAATCAGACAGTGCAAATAGACCCCTAGCCTCTGCAGTACACTTAGTCCTCGACATACAGCAGTTCAAAGTTACAACGGAACTGAAAAAAGTGACTTATGACCATTTTTCACACTTTACAACCATTGCAGCGTTCCCATGATCAAAATTCAGACACCTGGCAACTGACTCACGTTTATGACGGTTGCAGTGTCCCGGGGGGGGTCACGTGATCTCCTTTTGTGACCTTCTGGCAAGCAAAGTCAATGGGGAAGCCAAATTCACTTAACAACTGGGTTCCTATCTTAACAGCTGCAGGGATTTGCTTAACAGTTGTGGGGGAAAAAGGTCACAAAATGGGGCCAACCTCACTTAGCAACAGAAAATTTGGGCTCAGTTGTGGTGTTACGTCGAGAACTATCTGTTCTGAGGAGAGGGACGGGATTTATTTATTTGTTAAATTTATTTGCTGCCTATCTCAGCGTGGGATTAAGAATTCAAGGACAGAGGGGCCACTTTGCTATCACAAATGAAACTTTTCAAAGCTGCTGTTGCAACAGGCGGGGCCTTCCGCTGAGCTACTCATGATGGTTGGGTTATTAATGGTGCAGTCTTGAAGGACTTCTAGATGCTTCAACCTTCACAGAATGATTGGAAGGGCAGAAGCTTTGCTAAGCCCATGTAGCGCTTTTGCTGCATATGCTGACAAAGCCAGTTTGGTCTAGTGGTTAAAGGCTAGAAAGCAGGAGACCATGAGTTCAAATCCCGCCTTAGCCATGGAAGCCGGCTGAGTGACTTTGGGCCAATCACCAGGTGACAGTGAGTTTTAGTCCCGCCTTAGCCATGGAAGCTGGCTGAGTGACTTTGGGCCAATCACCAGGAGACAGTGAGTTCTAGTCCCGCCTTAGCCATGGAAGCCAGCTGAGTGACTTTGGGCCAGTCATTCTGAGCCTAATTCACCTCTCCAGATTGTTGTTGTGGGGCAAATTGGAGAAGGAAGGTGTGTTGGATATATTTGTCACATATTGCCAAGGCATTCTATGTAAAGGGATGTGAAATCCTGGCCTCTGATGACATGCATATATTCTTCCCAGCTCCTTTTTTAGCCTTACATAGCCTGGCAAGGTTTGGATAACCTAACAAGATTTATGTGAAAATAATCTTTAACTGTGGGTGTCCTTATCCAAACCCATACAAAAGCACCATGGACCATATTCAGAAACCTTTCGAAACACTATCACCTTCTTGGCTCCCACAAACCATGATCCAATGCCTCTATTTTATTTAAAGCATATCTTTTAGACCAGCAATTAGAATAGGACCAGCTTGGTTTTAATAGTTTTATTAGGAATTCAAATATGTAACAGATAAAAGTATACAAACAGCTTGTGCATGCAATGGGGCAAGTTTTACCTCTCTGCCACCGAAGAGGGAATGTTTAATAAGGATGCTTCACACAGCAACTGGTTCACATTCATTTTCAATGAGAATGACAGCCTTGGGAGAGTCTTGTATACCTGGGGGGGGAAAAAAAATCCAAAAAGCCACTGGTGATATGACTAGCTTGGTTTGCGAAGCTGGTCAACTTATTGCTAGCCCATCCGAAGTATGGGCAGCTCAACCCTGCTTAGTTCGTAACCTTGCCTGCATTCAGAAACGAAGCAAGATTGGGCAGGGTTAATGCTTAATTTGGACAGACTAGACTGGGTTTCTAGACATCCCAAAAGAAGTACAGTGGTGAAGAACCATTTCTGCACCGTGGCTAAAATTGCTCAGCTACGTGCACAGAATCCCCAGGAGTCTTAACTCTCTTGATGGATACTTCTACATACGTCTAACTTTCTATTTAAAAGAAAGTCCTGAGTTCAATTAGATTTGCAGCAAATGGGCAAAGGGTTTCAGGCTCCGTATCTTTAGGATGCATTTCTTTCAGGATTGCTAAGAAAAGCCAAGCCACCAGACTGAGGTTTCAGAATTTCATTCTAGTCCGACCCCCATTGAAATAAAGACATATGTTCTAGGATGGATTCTCAAGTCAACTCTATGTTTGCAATAGTGGTGAATATCTGTAGCTCAGTTGTAGGATTTAATTTCCGAGTTTGTGGGTTGGTTTCGAACATTTCATTATCGGGCTAGATCAGTGGTTCTCAACCTTTTTAATGCCGCGACCCCCAACCGGTCGTAAGTCAAGGACTACTCAACCGGTCGTAAGTCGAGGACTACTCAACTGGTGCAGCACCGTTTGCAGAATGGGACTTTTGGCGGGCTCAGCAGGGCAGAGACAGCCTGGACAATTCCTATTGGCTTTTGAAAGCCAATAGAATTAGACTCTATTCAAGAGAGTCTATTCTATTGGCTTTCAAAAGCCAATAGAATAAAAGGGAGTAGCACAGCTAAGGAAAAGGGGGAAAAAATGGCGGACTGCGTTGTTTGGCGACCCCCGTGAAATGGTCGTTCGACCCCAAATGGGGTCCCGACCCACAGGTGGAGAACCACTGGGCTAGATAATATCTTCAGCGGAATTTAGGGGATGTCGACGTTCTTCTGTTTATAAGGGCTTCAGGTGTGGATGTGTCAGGGTCTTGTGATGGGTCAGGTGTGAATCATCAGCGAATCTTGTGATGGGCCCCTAAACTCCATGTGCTACTTTACAAGATTTGGTTCCCACAGCAAAGCTGTTCATAACAGCCAGTGGCTGCTGATGCCATGGTTATACTCACCCTCTGTGAAATCCACAAAGCTGCCCGCTTTTTCTGAAGCTGGGAGCGAAATCCCCATTGCTTTACGGATTCCATAGGTGCTGACAATGTCACCTGGAGCTACCTGCTGTGCCAGCTCTTTCAGATTATTGGTCACCTTTTCCGCTGAAAAAGCAGAGAAATAAACGGATGTAACGTTTTACAAGGCTACATAAAACTTTATCTCCAACAACAAAATAATTATTTCAACCAAGTGGCCTTCACATTCAGAATGTATAGGGTAGTAATGTTATAGGGCAGTAGCACTAGTACTTAAGACTTATATACCGCTTCCCAGGGCTTTACAGCCTTCTCTAAGCGGTTTACAGAGTCAGCATGTTGAGGACCCCAATAATCTTGAGTCCTCTTTTTACCCACCCCGGAAGGATGGAAGGCCAAGTCAACCCTGAGCCGGTCAGCATCGAACTGCCGAATTGCTGTCAGCCGTCAGCAGAATTAGCCTGCAATACTGCATTCTAACCACTGCGCCACCACGGCTCGTTAAATAATTTAACAATAAAAGTGAAGGCAAAATGTGCTTTCCTCCTTGAAACATGTTCAAAGATTGGCGATTCCTTAAAGTCTGAATGGGAACAAATCCAAGCTATTCTCTTTTGTTTCCAGTTGCTCGACAGAAGACTTAACTTTTATCCATTTTTGTCCCTGTTATTGTTATACCTGTCTGTTTCTCCCATAATGGTTTCCCAATGGAAAACCATCCTGTAAAACGGCATTTCACTGGTAAGCAAATAGCTCCAAATTGTGGTCTGATGATTTAAGTGATGCAACATAGAGGGGTGTTCTTGTTGTGGAACTCAACATTCACAAAAAACTAGAAGACAATTTTCAGAGTCGCCCGACATGTGAGTGGCATTAACGACAAGCAGCGTTTTGAAGTTTATAATGTATGCTAAGAGCAGAAGAGAGCCAATTTGGTCTGTGGTCAAGGTGCCAGGCTAGAAACTGCGAGGCTGTGAGTTCAAGTCCTGCCTTAGCCATGAAAGCCAGCTAGGTGACTTTGGGCCAATCACTAGGAGATGGTGAGTTCTAGTCCCATCCTAGCTGTGAAAGCCAGCTGGGAGATTTTGGGCCAGTCCTTCTCTCTCAGCCCAATCCACTTCACAGGGTTGGAGGAAGGTGTATTGAATATGTTCGCCGCCTTGATTTATTTGTAAAAATAACAAAAGCAAGACATAAATAAATAAGCATTCTTATTCTTACCCAAATGCATTTCCTTGTAAGATGGGCCCAAGAGACAAATCATATTAGGCGGTGGTTTTGTACTCAGCCGTTCATTTTGGGCATCCTGAAGGTCGCAAATTAATTTTGTGGTTTCATCAAGCTTTCTCTGAAATATTTCAGCTTCTGGGAAATCAAAGACGAAGCTGTGAGGCGCACCATAAATTGAGTTAGATTTTGCCACAAAACCTTGCAAAGTCATGTTAACTCACCTTCAGAATCAAATTCCTCAGTGGGCACCCCAAAATTGGTTACCGCTTTCAGTGCCGTAAGCCTTTCTTTACTAAGTCCAGAATCAACCTTGGCTGGATCTTTTTCTATTATCTAGAAATGCAAACAAAGATATGGTCTTAAAATCCAGGAAATACATCATGCTTCGCCCATTATCATGCCTGATTTTGTTGTTCGTCCATCGATTTCGATGACGACCTTGACATCTTGTGGATTATGGGCCATCAACGATGTGTCCGTAGGTGGCTAATAAGACCGATGTTAGCACGAAATGTTCTGCCACATACTGAACAAAGAAATATAGACACTGTTATTTCAGCATTTACAGCTCTGGCTTTGCGGAGTGCTCGCTTCTCTTGTGCCAAGATTGTCCTTCTGTGTTCATATGTCTGGCAACCCTGGTACACCAAGGTGCACCATGTCGGTCGCTCATGCGCCAGAAGTTCCCAAGAGATGGTGTTAATATCCAGGGACTTAAGAGAGGCTTTCAACGTGTCTTTGTATCACTTCTTTTGTCCCCCGTGCGATCGCTTTGCTTGAGACAGCTCACCATAGAAGAGCTGTTTAAGGATGCAATGATCTGGCATCCTTACAACATGGCCGGCCCAGCGCATCAGGATAAGATACCAGCGCATCAGGATAAGATACCAGTCCTCTCCAGAGCAGGCCTATCATCATGCATTATAAGTCTACAGTGAATATGAAAGAGGATCATAAGGGTATTTAAAAAAAAAACAAAAAACCTGTTTATGTTTACAACTGTGCTTTACA